AAGTTCTACTTTGCTAAACCCTTTTTTCGAAACCGTGTATAGTTTTAGGGTGGCTGTAGACTTTGTAAATCAATACCTATCATTTAAACGTGGTCAGTCAAGTGTGCCTCCATGGCAGTGCTTCATGGGTTATTGCTCCATTCCATTAATCTTTGACAGTAAAACCTGGAAGCTGATTGGTTTCTGTGCAGAGCTGCACCAATTTTGCGCACTCCAGTTTTAGTAAATAACCCTCTGTATCTTCTTTTATGGCAGTGTAAGCACCTACAGGCTGGTGACAAAGGTAGCTTAGCTCTGCCAGCAGTAGTTGGTTAGGTTGAGTTGAAATCATTTCTCTATTATGGGCAGTGTTCAGTTTGAAAACCTCATGGCCAGCTTTCTCTTGAGTTGGTTTTAAATCTTGTTTAAGCATGCGTGTGATCATTGAACACATTGCAGGTTTTTTGCCTTGCTGCACAGATGTATATTGACTTTTTTTTTTTATATGCAGTAACTTGCTTTGTGTTTAATTTGAACCAGATGTTCAGTTAGGACATTAGAATCATTCAATCTAACAAGCTGACTGGTAATATATACAAATGCCCCTATTTGTAAGGATGATTTTGGCTTCCATCTAGTATAGTTCTAAGCAGACCTGAGCTTTAGAAACTGGACTGCACAATATCTCCCGCTCATGGTGACAACTCTGTTAATGATCCAGGTACATTTCCTCTTCTGTGTAAAGAAATTGGTGGTATGTATTTGCATCATATCTACTTTGTCTGAAGGGGAATTTTTATAGACATTCAGTTTCAGTAGAAGTCCCACCTCCTGTGGCATCCTCTTTCCTTTGCAGTACATGGAGGTCTGACCATTCATGCACAGTGGTTCTCACGAGTCTGTGTGAACAGGCGGTAAAGCAAAAACCTGGGAGCTGCAAGAAGGGGAACTACACCAAGCCATCCTGGAAGGGGATTTCCATTATGACATTAATCATGTCTTGGCCTAAAAAGTGAAACTGTGAGGGTTTGTGCATATAGTATAAACTCTGGGCATTCAGTGCCCATAGTAATAGAACTTTCAGCACTCCTTTCCTGCCATTCATCACCCCATTGTACATTTTTAGGGGGACAGTAAAGAAACTGTGTCAGTTCCCATTCTGTATGGAACCATTCTGTTAAGTACAGTTTTAAAGTGGTTGCATGAAGGTAAAAAGCCTTCTGTGCAGCAGTGCTCTTGGCCCCTCAATACTTACCCGAGCCTCATTGCGATCCAGCGATGTGAATGACAACCTCGGCTGTCCTGGGTCTCTGCTGCCTCATTGGCACTGGCTCCCGCTGCTGTCAATCACAGCCAGTCAGCCAATGAGGATAGGGGGGATGGGCCAAGCCATGGCTCTGTGTGTGAAAGGATACACGGAGCACCCCAAACAAGCTGCCTGCTGGGGTGGCACCTGACAAGAGGGAGGGGCCAGGAGAGCCTGCGGGGGACCCAAAAAGATGAGGATCCAGACTGTTCTGTGCAAAACCACTGCACACAGTAGGTAAGTATAGACATGTTTGTTATTTTCCAGAAAAAAAATTAACCTTTTTAGGATCGCTTTAAGCCTGCTCATGAAAGGCTGGACTTGGTCATACAGTCTGATCCTTACTCTTTTTGGATGTCCGTTATTAGAACATAGAAAACCTTCACATTTAGAAAACTGAAAGTACTTTGTATGTATTTCTGCACAACTAGCTGGCTTTTTATTTTTCAGATTGTTTGTAATTATTTGTTGTACTGCGGATGTGCGGTTTAATCAAAAGGGGAAGTTGAACTCTGCGGCTTCCTGAGTGGGTTATGCACACACTGCTTATGCTGGTGTCTTAAAGGGTCTTTAGTGCCTGAGACATGTCAGGCTTGTGATGTCTGTCTGAAATATACAGGTGTTTCTCAAATTAGAATGTCATCATAAAGTTCATTTATTTCTGTAATTCAATAAAAAAAAGTAAACTCTTATTAAACAAACTCATTACAGAGTGATATATTTCAAGCATTTCTTTCTTTTAATTTTGAGGATTATGGCTTACAGATTGTGAAAACCCCAAATTCAGTAACTCAGAAAATTATAATATTACATAAGACCAAAAAAAACAACTAGCTTTTAATACAGAAATGTTAGCTTACTGAAAAGTATGTCCATGTACAGTATAGTATGCACTCAATACTTGGTCAGGGCTCCTTTTGCATGAATAACTGCATAAATGTGGCGTGGCATGGAGGCAATTGGCCTGTAGCACTGTTGAGGTGTTCTGGAAGCCCAGGTTGCTTTGATAGCGGCCTTCAGCTCTTCTGCATTTTGGGTCTGGTGTCTCTAATCTTCCTCTTGGCAATACTCCACAGATTCTGTATGGGGTTGAGGTCAGGTGAGTTTGCTGGCCAATCGAGCACAGTGATACCATGTTCATTAAACCAGGTATTGGTACTTTTGGCATGTGCCAGGTCCTGTTGGAAAATGAAATCCGCATCTCCATAAAGCTGGTCTGCAGAGGGAAGCATGAAGTGCTCTAGAATTTCCTGGTAGAGGGCTGCGCTGAATTTGGACTTGATCAAACACAGTGGACCCACACCAGCAGATGACATGGCTCCCCAAATCATCACTGACTGTGGGAAAATTTACACTGGACCTCATGCAGTTTGGATTCTGTGCCTCTCCACTCTTCCTCCAGACTCTGGGACCTTGATTTCCAACTGAAATGCAAAATTTACTTTCATCCGAAAAGAGGGCTTTGGACCACTGGGCCATAGTCCAGTCCTTTTTCTCCTTAGCCCAGGTAAGATTCTTCTGACATTGTCTCTGACTCAGGAGTGGCTTGAAACAAATGTGACAGTGGTAGCCCATGTCCTGGATACGTTTTGTGTGTGGTATCTCTTGAAGCACTGACACCAGCCATAGTCCACACCTTGTGAATCTTCCCAAAATTTTCGAATGGCTTTTGCTTCACAATCTTCTCAACACTGCGGTTATCCCTTCTTCTACCACACTTTTTCCACTCAACTTACCATTAATATGCTTGGATTCAGCACTCTGAACAGCCAGCTTCTTTAGCAATGACTTCTTGTGGAGGATGTCAAAGGACAACTGTCAAGTTGGCAGTCTTCCCCATGATTGTGTAACCTACTGAACCAGACTGAGAGACCATTTAAAGGCTCAGGAGACCTTTTATAGGTGTTTTCAGTTAATTATCTGATTTATAGAGTTTGACACGACGAGTCTACAGTATTTAACTTTTTCACAATATTCAAATTTTATGAGATACTGAATTGTGGGTTTTCGTTAGCTGTAAACCATAATAATCAAAATTAAAAGAACGAAATGCTTGAAATATCACTCTGTGTAATGAATCTATATAATGAGTTTCACTTTTTTATTACTAAAATTAACTTTTTTGATATTCTAATTTGAGATACACCTGTATGTGCTTGACATTGAGAAATAGTGTATCAAAGCAAGACCCTTTCCTGTGCCAAGTTCTACCTACCTCGGATCTGGCTGATGTGCTGCATAAAATCATATGGGGTTTGATTACCAGTCAGTTGTGTCTTGGCTAGCAAACCAATTAAAATGAATGCCACGAAGAAGGAAAATGCTGAAATATACTGTTTTGTCAACTGCGCGTTAACAAGAAATATCCACTGTAATATTCCCTCTTTGGTTTTTTTAATGCCATGGCAGGAGCAATTGCACTAAATTTCATGTTTCCATTTGGAGCCACTCTGTAATCTCTGGTGCATGCTGGGGCATTTCTGCAGGTCTTTTTTTTTTTTTTTTTTTTTTTTTTAAAGCATATTGAGCCTGCTGTATGGTGGGAAATAGGCTACTCACATGCTACTGAGTTTTCCTTTCAGTGCTGTAAAGCTTTCCGTAGAAAACTGCTTGAAAATTTGTTCACATTTAATAAGGATCTGACAACTGAGCACACAGTTATGCCATCATTGATACTAATTTTTTCCCCCACTTGGTAACGTTGTTCATTTACAACATAAAAGGTCAATTTTTTGTTCGATCGATCTCACATTTTCATGTGCACTGTTTGTTCATGTTATTCCCAATCGATTCCACTGCTCACACTTCAAAAGTTCTTTGGCACTACAAAATTCCGACATGCCAGTTCAGGATTTTACCATTAATCATTGCATGTCGGGAATCGAAATGAGCCCATTAACCTTTAAAAAGTTGAACGAGTGTTTCAGCTGGCCAACTTAAATGATAAAGAATGATTCCAAATTGTAGAAGCACATGCCAGCGTTGCCAGTTCTTGTTACATTGTTGAGTACTTTTCCTTGCAATAAAACACCCCATCTCTTTTAAAAGCCTAGTCAATGATAAAATGGTGCCTCCTACTAGGTGCATTGTGGATGTTTGACATTATTAAAGATTGCAGTCTGTTGTTGTTCCGACTTTTTCCATGATCGAGAGCCAGGAAAGAGAGCCTGCTTTTTTAACAAGCAAAAGTGCATGCCCCTGCATACTTTATATAATTATAAACTCTACATAAAACATAGTTTTCAAGCTAGTATCTTACTTTGATAAGTTTATTTTCATACTTCCTAAAAAAAAATTAATGATCAACAAAAATGACTGTTATTTCAAACACTGGTTGGAAATGTTACTCTGGGGCAGGATGTCTGTAGAAAATCTTGAGGTTGCAGAGTTACTTAGCTTATCATTGGCTCACACTGTAATATTTACAAATCAAACAAGTCTTATGCCAGCCCAGCGATGGTAATTCCATATACTGTATAATACTCAGTAGTTGGTTGTGTAAATAGAGTTCTAGCCTGGAAATGGTAACAGTAAAAAATATTTCTGTGCGACACCATAAACATCTGAAATTCGATGACTGAGGATTTGTTTGCATGTCCTCTCCAAGTATCTCGGTATCTGGAACCAATGCACTGGGTGATGTAATAGCTGGCAGGAGATCAAGGGAGCAGCCATGGATTTCCGAGTATCTAAATGTGTCATTGTTCTCTTCATAGGTCCTTATTCCTTAAACGGCTATCGAGTGAGGGTCTACAGACAAGACTCTGCCACCCAGTGGTTCACTGGAATAATAACTCACCATGACCTTTTCACCCGCACTATGATTGTTATGAATGACCAGGTAAGTTGATTTATTGGTCTCATCAGTGTAGGCTGCTTGTCTTTTAAATGATACATTTTGGAAATGGTATTGCTGTTAAGGTTGAAACCCTGAATTGCCTATGTTCCAGCTTGTTGACATTTGTAGTTTTTCAATGGCTGGATGGACTCGGGAATGTAATGTGACAGGTTTAGGCTCTCTTCACCACTTAGTGAATTAGTGATCCAGTGACAAATTTTCAACCAGTGTCAACACCTGACCTGCATGTCAGTTCTGGTTTACTGACTTGGTAAGTAATGCAAGGGAAAAGACTGCAGTCATGTATGTTTTAAAAACAAGTCAGAAATGGCAGTTCACATTTTAGCCTTAACAGGCTTCTTTAAGGGCTCATTTACACAAGTGTTGCCTTCTGAAGCGTGATCTGCAGTGGATCGCTTTTCAGTGGGTGTTTGACAATGAGGAGGCAATTCATCACCTGTTTTTAACCCCTAAAAGCCCACACTGCAACTGCATCCCTATTCTTTTGAATGGGTCAACTTGAATGCAACCCATTCACCGGAATGGGTCGTCTAAAGCACTTTTTCAACTTAACTATGAGTTTATACCTTCGCCTCTCTTCTCTTATACAGTCAGGTCCATAAATATTGGGAAATCGACACAATTCTAACATTTGTGGCTCTATACACCACCACAATGGATTTGAAATTATTATTATTATACAGTATTTATAAAGCGCCAATAGTTCGCTCAGCGCTGTACATTACAAAGGGGGACAGAACATGTGACAGAACAATACCAATACAATGCAAAACATGAGGGGATCGAGGGCCCTGCTCTTTCGAGCTTACAATCTAGGAGACTAACAAGATGTGCTTTAACTGCAGGCTGTCAGCTTTAATTTGAGGGTATTACATCCAAATCAGGTGAACGGTGTAGGAATTACAACAGTTTGCATATGTGCCTCCCACTTGTTAAGGGACCAAAAGTAATAGGACAATTGGCTTCTCATTCTGTTCTATGACCAGGTGTGTGTTGTTCCCTCATTATCCCAATTACAATGAGCAGATAAAAGGTCCAGAGTTCATTTCAAGTGTGCTATTTGCATTTGGAATCTGTTGCTGTCAACTCTCAAGATGAGATCCAAAGAGCTGTCACTATCAGTGAAGCAAGCCATCATTAGGCTGAAAAAACAAAACAAAAACCCATCAGAGAGATAGCAAAAACATTAGGCGTGGCCAAAACAACTGCTTGGAACATTCTTAAAAATAAGGAACGCACCAGTGAGCTTAGCAACACCAAAAGACCCGGAAGACCACGGAAAACAACTGTGGTATATGACCGAAGAATTCTTTCCCTGGTGAAGAAAACACCCTTCACAACAGTTGGCCAGATCAAGAACACTCTCCAGGAGGTAGGTGTATGTGTGTCAAAGTCAACAATCAAGAGAAGACTTCACCAGAGTGAACACAGAGGGTTCACCACAAGATGTAAACCATTGGTGAGCCTCAAAAACAGGAAGGCCAGATTAGAGTTTGCCAAACGACATCTAAAAAAGCCTTCACAGTTCTGGAACAACATCCTATGGACAGATGAGACCAAGATCAACTTGTACCAGAGTGATGGGAAGAGAAGAGTATGGAGAAGGAAAGGAACTGCTCATGATCCTAAGCATACCGCCTCATCAGTGAAGCATGGTGGTGGTAGTGTCATGGCGTGGGCATGTATGGCTGCCAATGGAACTGGTTCTCTTGTATTTATTGATGATGTGACTGCTGACAAAAGCAGCAGGATGAATTCTGAAGTTTTCGGGCAATATTATCTGCTCATATTCAGCCAAATGCTTCACAGCTCATTGGACGCCGCTTCACAGTGCAGATGGACAATGACCCAAAGCATACTGCAAAAGCAACCAAAGCGTTTTTTAAGGGAAAGAAGTGGAATGTTATGCAATGGCCAAGTCAATCACCTGACCTGAATCCGAATGAGCATGCATTTTCACTTGCTGAAGACAAAACTGAAGGGAAAATGCCCCAAGATAACAAGCAAGAATATGAAGACAGTTGCAGTAGAGGCCTGGCAGAGCATCACCAGGGATGAAAGATAGAGATAGATAGAGATAGAGATAGATATAGAGATAGAGATAGAGATAGATAATAGAGATAGAGATAGAGATAGAGATAGAGATAGAGATATAGATAGAGATAGAGATAGAGATAGAGATAGAGATAGAGATAGAGATATAGATAGAGATAGAGATAGAGATAGAGATAGAGATAGAGATAGATTTTATTTTTATTACAGGTGCTTGTATAGTGCTGTCAGTTTTATGCAGCGCTGTACATGTACAATATATATATTGTACATTCACATCAGTCCCTAACCCTCAAGGACCATACAGTCTAAGTTCCCTAACTCGCATTCATACATACTAGGGCCGATTTTAGACCGGAACCAATTAACCTACCAGCGTGTCTTTGTGGGAGGAAACCGGAGTACCTGGAGGAAATCCACGTAGGCACAGGGAGAGCATGCAAACTCCAGGCAGGTGGTGCCGTGGTTGGTATTCGAACGAACAACTCTAGAACTGCCAGGCGGAAGTGCTAACAATAACAAAACACTTTATGGTATATTAGGTGTTTGCATACACTTTAATGTATTTCTAAACAAGGACTATACATCTATACATGTATCTGTGTTTACGCACCTTCTATTTTAGCAATAATAAGAGTTGAAACACTCCTTTGCAATTTTGTGTGTTGCAGTAAGGCCACATGAGTTAACACAAGGTTTGATTGATACCGCAACATGCTAAGGGAGCACAGCTCCACCGCACATTCTTTGCAGTATACAGCAATGCATGCTAACAAAATTGCTGTGCATTGTGGTGCACTGAATCTGGAAAAATTATGCTATTCCATTTTTTGGTTGTTCGTTCAAATTGAATCGACATCCTTAACACGACGCACTAACGTATGCTTTCACACAATGCAGAGGAAATTACATGAATGGGCCCCTTATAGTATAAGGAACCTACTGGGCACCAAGGTGGGATTTTACTGCAAGGTTTTTCCATTAGGACAGAACAATAGCAATGAAAGATCCTGCTCAAAGGGAAGTATTGGTAATGTCTCTGCATGACTGTTTAGACTTGCTTTAGTAAAATGGTGCATTTTGTAGAACAAACAGTAGCATTTTTGGCTGTCTTGGAGCAGTATTTTAGTTGTTGGCTCCTGCGACCCTCTACTGTCACATGAAATAAATGTTATTGCCATGGGCTTTCACTTGATTTCTTTGTTCCAAGCTTCTTTTAATCCGCCCCATTCTGTTTTGATACTGTTTCCTTTATGTAAAAGACACTTTCTTTTTGTAGTTTTCCTGTAGTTGTTTGCAATCCAAATAATGAGCAAAACTTTGTTTCATACCAGGTTCTAGAGCCACAGAATGTTGATCCTTCTATGGTTCAGATGACCTTTCTAGATGATGTTGTATACTCGTTGTTAAAAGGTGAAAATATTGGCATCACGTCCCGCCGCAGGTCGCGCTCCAATCAGAATAGCAACACAATTCATGTAAGTATTTTTGATGCTTTATTTTTAACTGGTTTAAATTCAGATTTTGTTTGCTGTGTTCATTTGGTTTCAGCTAACAGATGCTATTGTTTCTCATGCTTTAACTAGTTGATCCAATTATTGATCATTTGTAATGCTCGACAATCTGCTCTAACCAGTACAATGTTGTTTGTAGGGTCATTATACACGTGCACAAGCAAATAGTCCCAGACCCGTGATGAACCCTCAGAGCTCCACAAAACAGAATCAGCACCGCAACGCCCGTTTAAACAAGAGGAAAGGTTCTGACAGCAGCATGCCCGATGAAGATAGGATTAAAGAAGAAAGATTTGATGGTACTGCTAGAGGAGGTAAGCAAAACTATCAACTGGTTTACCATTTAGCATAAACTGAGGTTGTCAGAATACATATTTTTTAGTGGACATTAACATTATTACAGCTGCAGAGAAGCATAAATGACAGTGCATTTGTATATAACATACACATTCTTAAAATGGTCCTTCCTTTGATTATCTCTATGCCTTAATTTTTTTTAATTTGAAACCTCAGATTCATGCGGTTGTCACGTAGCCTTGAACGGCACTTGGTTGCCTGGCTCTTGATGCACTTTTAAGTATCACTACCCATCCCTAATATGTGACAGCTGCTAAGCTGATCACAGCTACTACCATCTGGCGTGTATTTATTGCCGACCACTAAAACTGTCCTTACATGACACAAATTTTCACCAAAATTCACGCCGTTGGTTCTATCGGCAGCACATGGCTTGATAAAACTCCCGTGAAAAATCAAGATGGGTGTAAAGTGATTGCATCCAATCATTTAGGTATTCAAGCATCCACAGGTGCTTGAATACAGTAGCAGTTTAGGTTCTTCCATCCATGCTTAATGAGATAGATGTCGCTCTGTATTGCTAGCTTAGAGTGGTAGTAAAACCCCCAAAACAAAGTTATTATATTGGTGCTTCCCAACTCTTAGATGTGGTGGCTGAATTGTTTGTTTTTTTTTTTTTTTTTTTTTTGGGGGGGGGGGGGGTGTCAGGTTTCCCCTTATTTTGTCTAGTGATCCAGCCATAAGTCCAATTTATTTAGGCTTCATACTCACTGGACATTTTGCCAACTCTCCTAGGCGCTTTTACGTGCGACAAGCAGTTTTGTGGGTTTTTTTTTTTTTGCCTAAACACCATTTCTCCTGAATGTGCTGGCAGTGGGTTTTTGTTTTCTGCCTCAAGACTCCTCTAAATGCCTGTGTGCATAGACACGTAGACTAACATGCCTGGTTTTTTTTAGAGGCATGAAAAGAAATGCTAGATTCCTCTAAGAACAGTGGTAAAAACATCCAGTGTGCATGAGGCCTCAACAGACCAAGCTGTTGAGCAAAAGTGACAAGAATGAAAATGAATAGACAAACTATTTAGGGCTGCTTAAAAAGTGTTAGCTGGAGTTCAGCTTTAATTAGTTAAGTCAATCTAAATCTGCTAGTGAATCTAACTGTGACATCATGAGGATGTCGCATTCTATATCCTACAGAAGTCCCTGACCTGAATGTAACGCTTATTGGGGGTGGAGCCAAAAATCTGACAATGGGTAGGGAACGCTTGCTGAAGAGCATTGCAGTGGTTTCATTTTCAATTTTGAGCTGTTGGTTTTAAAATTGATGTAAGTGCACTACCTTTTTACTTTTTGCTTGAAAAAAATGACACCATGGTAGGCTTTCCTATTTTCTCTTGATTGTCCTGCTGTATAGTTCCAGTTAATATTGAGAACCTTAAAGGGAGAGAGGAGCATTTTAGACCATATCAATGGGGGACCCAGTGTATGGATCTTAAAGGAATCGTGGAGTGTTGACCACATTGGCGGGGGACCTAATGCATGACACAACGTAGAGAGAGCGTGCAGTTTGACTTCCTTATGCTAATGAGAAGTCAACAACATAAAGTGAGTGTGGTGTGTGGGGGAAGAGCACCGAGGAGTGAAGACACATGCATTTTTTTCTCCTTTTAATTACGAGCACATATGATTTCTTTTTAACGCACAGAGCACTTTATCATGTGGACCAATTTATTGCAATATTACACATTGGTATAGTGAATATTAGCTCTGTCTTAAGGTTTTTTTTTTTTAATAACAGGTTTATATTTAACAGCTCTGTGCAGTGGAACTGCACAGAGCGGCCCCAAATCTCCTCCTCTTGGGTCCCCCATCAGCTATCCTGGCTCTTCCTATTTTTGGTGTTCCACCATCGGAAGCCTCTTCCTATCATAGCACAAATCAATGCTCAATCCTGAGCCACGCTACATGTTTCCATGAACACGGACAGTGAGGCGAGGGCCCCCTCCCCCCCCCCCCCCCCCCCCCCATTCCCTTGTCACAGGATTTGACTGACATCAGCAGGAACCAATTGCTCTCACTCCTCTCAGCATAGCCTGTGAGAGCAAGAAGAAGAGAGCCGCTGCAGACTGGCACTACACTGGATGGAGTGAGGACTAGGGTAGGTATAAGAGGGATTGGAGTGGAGACAGTTGACACTAAACCTTTTTTTTACCTTATTTCATGGAATGCATTAAGGTAAAACATGTTTAGGTTTTACAACCACTTGAACAGAGGTCTTGATTTATTGATTTGGGACATTCTATATCTGTATGACAGCTGCTTTTTCGTTTGTTTTGGAGGTGTATTTTTTGAAGCACATACATCTTCACAATTACCGCCAGTGTAGTATAATATCTATGTGCTCACTGTCTTTCTCCTGTGGGCAGTAGTATATCCCTTGGTTGCTTATCGTCTCTAAAGCGATTTCCCCTAATGGACTCAAAGATTTTATGGCAAGTACAAAAATCGTATTTTTTTAAACTGGAATGGGTCATGTTTTGATTGAGGTTTTGATGTAAAAAGCAATGTATTTTTACCCAATTAATGTGTGTGTGTGTGTGTGTGTGCATATGCATTGCGCACTTCATCTGTAGTGTACAGAAAAGTCACTATTTCTGTACTGCGTGCCTAATATGTTTTATGGCATCCAGTAAAGACTAGAGCCACGTTCTACGATGCTCCCTGTGTGTACCAGCAGCTATCTGTACTTACAGTAACACTAATAGGTTAGTTTATACAGCTAAATGTATTCACAGGTTTATTTTAAGCCTACTGACATTCGGCTTTAGGGATTTAAGGGCCACATTTTTTAATTTGATTAATAGATTATTTTTTTGGTCCGTAGTGAAACTGTCATTTGTACTTAAAGGAGAAGTACAGCCAAAGCTCTTTTGGCTGTGTCTCTTATGGCTCACAGGAGTGAAGTTTGTCCTGCACTCCTGTGACCTGGTTTCAGCTGACGGCGTGCTAAATCCCACTGTTGGCTGGTATCACAGAGCCGGTCCAGGCTGTGGAGAGACCCTAACTTTAAAGTCAGGATCCACCCAGATCCCTGTACCGACACCTGGCGCAGCCTGTCAGTGAACCTGCCCATTGAGCATTGGGGGGGGGGGGGGGGGGGGGTGAAAGGTGGGGTTTTGGGGTGTCAGAGCAGACAGCGGTGATCGACAGTCACTGCTCTCTGCTCAGAGCAGCAGGGAGAACTGAACAATCAGAGGTCACGTGATCGCTCAGCTCTAACACCTAAAGCCTGCGATGGACGGATGCAGCAACTCGAAGTATGATTTTTAAATAAGAACAAATCTCTTCTCTTTTAAAGGAATCCCAGGAGGATTATGTCAGATGTCACTTCTATTCTCTCTTAAATATGCTAGTTGCCTGGCTGTCCTTTTAATCCAGTCTGTCACTGGTTGAACAGAAACAATAATACAGATCGAGTTCTGACTTTGCTTTTTGCTTGCTTGTTTGGAGTCCTTGATTGAAACTGTTTTGGTGATAGAAGAGAACCAGGAAGCTAGCACTTTTTTTGGTGATAGAAGAGAACCAGGAAGCTAGCACTTTTTTTGGTGATAGAAGAGAATCTGGAAGCTAGCACTTAGAAGCAGCTCAACGATGCCAGCCTACATTTTACTCTCAAGTCACCTCAAATTTACTGTGGTTCTCCATGTTGTTTTGTGACCACAGCCCAAGTATGGCTTACTTTGACTGCTTTATTTATAGTCACACAGTGCAGGTCATTTGATTGTACCAGTGTGTTTCTAGTTGTCATTAGTGCAGATGACATTCAGAATCAAGCAGAATAAGAGTGTATTCACATTAATGTAAAATTAACGATCGTTCACATAGCCAAATGAGGGTGAGTTCAAAGTTTAGCGTACTACATAGAAGCACTTAACCTTTGTGTGTTAAGTTTAGCATGCTTGTACACTCATAGAAAAGAATGGGTGGGTGGAGAGAAATCTTCCTGTCCTTGCTTGTATGATGTGCTCAAGGCGTTCCTGCTCTCAAGCATTCTCAATATTCTGTTAGTGTACATACAGTGAAAGATTTGTTCCCTTTTCTAAGAAGAGAATGGAACAATCTGTGATCAGTGGCTGGAATGATCATGTTGCTTACATTAGCACACTCTTGATTACAGCCTTCCATCAAACCTCTAGGATACCGCCTTAGTCTGTCTGCTTCTCATCAAACATGGCAGAAAAAAGGTAAACTAAAACGCAATTTCAGCATGTTGTGAAATAATAATCATAAAACTATTATAGGTGGATCATAATTAGTAGCACTGTCAATTTTTTTAGGACTTTGTCCTACCCCATTCAACAAATCGGCACCTTGTCACTAGTACTTATGGTATGACATATCAGTATAAACCTAGACTCCTTTATAAGTGTCACACAAGGAAAACCAACATTGGATCTGAGTGTCTTCACAATTCAAACACATGCAAGTTTTGTGGCTCTGTATGAGAACTGATGTCTTTTTTTAAATTTTTTTTTTTTCTGTTTGCAGAAAATGTAAAAAGGAACAAACATTTCCACAGCAAAAGGAGGAAACCTGAGGAGGATGAGAAGAAATTAATTCTGAAAAGACTGCGCCCAGACAATATTTCTGACTACTCTGAGAGCAGTGACTCAGAAAATTCAAATAAAAGGATAATAGATTCTTCCTCAGAGCAAAATTCTGAGAATGAGTTGAAAAGCAAAAACACTTCAAAGATAAACGGAGACGAAGGAAAATCCCAAAGTAGCGAGGGGGCTGAGGAACAGACACTAATAGATAGGCATTCTCACTGGGACAAGATACAGGAGGATAAAAAGCATCAAGCTGAAGCAGAGAGGCTGAAGCCAGCTGACTTGCCGCTCCAGAAAGAAAGCCCTCAATTTCTCCTATCCGAACAGACAGCACTTTATGAGCAGAATTCCAATAAGCCACAGGCTCCAGATAGCGTGGTCGAGAGGAACACTACGGAACTCTTACAGATTGAGCCGCTGATCAGTAAGCCTCCCACGCCAAAAAATTCTATTGTCTTAACTAATGAAAACAGTTTGGACAAAGCATCCCAGGAAAGCATTTCAAGTAAGTTTAACACACAGCCCGCTGCCAAGAAGGAGCTGCAAGTCAGCGACCCGAAACAGCCGTTTGGCACCGTCGGTTTTTCCAGTACGAAGAAGCAGGATTCTGAGCATGGTTGGAATGATGCTTCCAATAAAGCCGACTTGGCACTTTCCGGGGTGTTAAAAACACCCCAGTTGGTTAATAAGGAGATTAACGATCGGGATAAGATCCACCATACCTCAGTTATTGGTAGCACATCCTTAACTGACGAACAGAAGAGGCTTCAAAAACAGACTATGGACGCTCTTAAGGCAAAGCCGCACGTGCCAGAGTCCTCTAGTAAAATAAAGTATAATTCTTCTCCAGATGTTTTAAAAACGCGGCCTGTCCATTCTCCGGATCCATTAAAACTTAAAGCCACCTATCACAATAGCCAGAGTTCTGGGATTGTGAGGACCTCAAGCAAAATGGACTGCGACATTCACAGGTCTAGTTTTCATCCGGTGGTCGCACGAGTGAGCACTATAGAATCTACTAAGAGCCCACTCATTATTGACAAAAATGAACATTTTACAGTTTACAGGGACCCAGCGCTTGTTGGACCAGAGACTGCAGCTAACCACATTTCTCCTTATTTGCACCAGCACAATTTTGCTCTTCATTCTCCAGCTCATCGAGCATGTTTACCTCCAAACAGCCACCACCCAGCACTAACCGCTAACCCTCATATGTTAACATCGTCCTCAAACCAAACGCCTATGACTGCTATTAGTGCTCATCCGTTGGGCAGCACATCGCATCATTCAGTCCACCATCCTCACTTACTACCTACGGTGCTACCTGGTATGCCTCCTGGCTCTTTGCTAGGGGGGCATCCCCAGCTAGAGACTGCACATGCCAGCAGCCTTAGCCACTTGGCTCTTGCACATCAGCAACAGCAGCAAATGTTACAGCACCAGCCACCTCATCTCCTCAGCCAAGCTCACCCTCCAGCTTCGTATAACCAGTTGGGACTTTATCCAATCATCTGGCAGTATCCAAATGGAAGCCATGCTTACTCTGGCCTTGGCCTGCCTTCTTCAAAGTGGGTGCATCCTGAGAATCATGTCAATGCAGAGGCCTCCATTAGAAGGGTAAGATTTGTGTAAGATATATATTTCCATGGCTCCTGGGTTTGTCCAGGGCTGTCTCAATACAGATATGGCTATAAAATAATTGGCTAAAGTTGAACTCTATGTAAAATGCTCGATACACAGGTGAAAAACATACATGGAAGCTAGTTAACCTGCTGTAAATTTGTATTTTGGTATCAGTCCTGAGAGTTACACAGCCCTGCTAGGTAGCGCAGCCAACCACAAGACCTGACTTTTCTGTACTGCAGTAAGGATTCCCTTACAGGTTTTGTTCTTCCCTCAGCTGTGAAGGAAAAGCAGCAGGCTGAGCTCATCTTTCTATCACTGTGCTCTGTCATCCTGTCAGCGTGTCCCTTGTTAGCATATGAGCACTACAGCTCAATTGTGCTGCTTCTTCCTCTTCCAGTCTGATCTTTGCTGTACAGAGGATTGCAAGGGGCTGATACCAACTCAGTATCAGGTACTCACACTAGTTTTTAATAATACACTTGAAAGTTTTTCTAATTAACATTAAATTCATGAATTGGTGTGATTTATGTCTTTCTGGAGTTCGGCTTCAGAGAATGGATGAAAGGAATGGGTTAGCATTATACAGTTGAGGAGATTGTTCTGTAACACCATTATTAAATCTAAAAAGCTTTGCTTGTATACAAAGTAATTAAATGATCCATTTTTACCAAAAACTGTTAGTTCACAGCCTGTAATTCAGTACTTCACTTCCCAAATAATACTTTATTAAATCTATTGCCTTCCAGCCCAAATTAAACCTTTACTTGTTTATAGTTCTTATGAGAAGAAATTAAAGCAGTATTAAACCTAAAATCAAACTTATTATATTACAGCTTACCAATTATTAGATGTGGTGGCTACATTAGGTTTTCTAGGCTCTTTCCACCTGGTGATCTGGAAAGCAAGTCTGTTGCTTTTCATCAGAACAAGCTGTTTCAAAGATGTATCAGTTACAGGGTTGAGGCAAATCATTTACTACTGAGGGGTGCTTACGATGTTCAGTTTTTATTTATGTAAAACCTTTATCCCAAAAGGAAAAAAAAAAACTGCTGTAACAGCTTAAAAAGCGTCAGCTGGAGTTCAGCATCAATTTATTAGTGTATCTAAATCTGCTAGTTCATCTAACACTCCCCTGCCCCCAGACTGACAGTGCTGTTGTCCAAAGGTGCCCCCAGTTCTACTTCATCCAGAGTGGAAGCACTTTAATAAAGGCGATGTGTTACTGGCCAGATCACCAGGTGAAAAATTTAAACAAAAAGAAAACCTAATGCAGCCACCACATCTAATGAATGGTAGACTGCAATATATTAATTTTTGGTTTTGGATATTACTTTAAGAAATGTTGCTTACCAGATGTGTATTGATAGGTTATTGTTATAGGTCCATAGGGTTAATTTATTAAGGGAGTAGATATCTTCACTGAGCAAAGGGATTGCCCATTGAGCCTAGTAGACAGAGTACAGTTGTGTTCTCTTGGAATACTCAGTTATGTGAAATTTAAAAAAAAAAAAAAAAAATGCTTGCACATGATTGGATGATTGAAGTGAACACAGCTGCTCCTTGTTTACTAAGTCCAGTGAACATTAACCTGTATGATTTTATTCATCATCAGATTTGGTGTCTGTGAAATGAAGCTTTTGTTAGAGCTGTCTGTAAACTATCATTGCAGAGACTTTGTACATGTATTAGTTGATTTTTTAATTTTTACATATGTATCCAACATCTAAAGTTTAGCAGTTGGATTTTGTCCACATGGACTTCTAATGTTTGACAAGAGCTGTAGGAGATAATTAAGCAGGCCATATGTTTCAGCCCTCCTGCTAGAAGAAAATGAAATCCTTTATCCACACAAATGAGGTAGCTAGAGAGTTCCCTCCCTGCCGGGACATTGCATTCTGACAGAGGTACCAGCAGCTGTCTGAATACACCGATCACTGTCTATAATGGATTGGATGCATCCTCTGATGGAACATTTTCCAACATGTCTCTTTTGACAGAAATCAAATGGTCTATCGTGCAGGGGAACACACACACAATTGAAATTGGACAGTGTCTGCTGGTAAAGTCGAATTTCAATCAGCGTATGGCCAGGTTTAGTGGTTCCTACTCTGGAATTGCTAATTGTTACTCCTAGAGATAACACAACTTTATACAACATCTCTGGGCAACCTGGCAAACTTTTTTTTCTCCTCTCATTCATATATATATACATACATACATACATACATACATACATACATACATCTCTAGTATATTGTGAGATTTGAAAGGCCACCTTGAATGGGAATGCAACTCAATTTTTTTTTATTTACTCTTTAGGCCATTTGGCTTAGAATTTGACGTTTTTGTTTAAATTTTTTTGTACTGGATCAGGAAGTGAGGGGAAATCTTCCTATCAGGGGTACATCTTGCTTTTCCCTACTCCTAATCTAAAACTGTAAAATGAGGTACCCTGGACTGCTGATATCCTATCTTTGAATAAGGGTGATTGGGAAGATTGGTAAATTTCCTTTAAAGACAAGTTGATACAGACTAAATTCTTGCCTAGAGTACACTATACTACCGTCAGACTCCATAGAATTTACCATGTTGTCGTATTCACCTGGGCACCTACTTATGTGTTGAGACTGCCATAAGCTGTCCTCTTTCTGCTCTGATGTTTTTGAGCTCATTGATTTTAGGCTACAATAGATTCTTCCAATCTCTCAGGAATTGGCTTTACTTGGGATTCATGAGGACACCCAGTGATCTCACCATGCTAAATTGTTGATCTCCTACTTGTATTATGCTAAAAAGAAAATTCTATGTAAATGCACTTCTACTGCTTTCTACTCCTGTCTTCCTGAGTGGCCATAGTTAATGCAGCGTTGGTCACTGTACAAACTTACCTACATCAATTGTGGCTGCCATTGGAAGTACAATAAAGTTTTACTCCCATGGACTTCCCAATGGGTGACTATACTGTGCAGGACCTGGTTACATCTCCTATGGCATGAGGACGAATGGTCCCTTTTGTTGCTACCCTCCTTTTCACTGCAGGCACCTACATATCTCTCCCCCCCCCTTTCCTTTTTTTTTTTTCCTCCTCCTTTTCCCCCAATTCCCCTTTTTCTCTGGGCCTCACTGTGCTGGACAAGGTATTTCCTCATCCTGAACGAATTGGTAACTTTGTGGTTTGTTTTGAAGCTAACTACTCTGCCAAAGCTGCTATGTATCATTGTACAATGTACATTGTTATATGTTGATGTTCTGACCTTTACATTTTACCATGTCAGACTGTTTCTTTCCTGCCATGTCATATTTTACTTTTACTCCTTAAGCAATCCTGTCTTGTTGAGAGAGGAAAAAAAAACCCTGTAATGTGCCCATAGATCATACATGATAGTCTCAGCTGGATTTGGCTATGATATTATGTCTGTGGGACATTGCAGACAGTTCCTCCCAGATCTTGGGTAAGAAAGAAATTGGACTGGTTAGAAAACCTTGCTGTGACAATCTTCTGAACATTTTAGAGGTGCCTACATCTCCCTCCTTCACAGACTAAACAGGAAGGCTTAGTCCATCTCAGCTTTCATTTTAGTGGCTGAATCTGTGCCAGAAGAACTTCTCTGATGTCTATGGCTTGCTTTTTTCACATTTCTTTCACTGACCTGGCCCGACATTTCTCAACCTCTTTTTATGTCACCCTTTGTTATAAGACTATAGGAAAGTAACCCCACCGTGCACACTGGTTTAACAAACGTTCCAAGTGTGTACATTGACTGCTGTTATTTTAAATGTCTTCATAAATTCCTGGATATTTGTAAATGACAAAAATAATCAACCTCACATCTGGCTTGTACGGTCCTTAAGTCTGTGGGTAGCCATAGCCAGTGAAGAAACATTTGCTTATAACCGTTAAGTATCAAGATAACCTGTTCTCTTCAGCAGATAAAAACACGGTTGGTGAGGTTGAGCAGTCTTCCCACTTTGTTGTGATGTGTATGTAACAGGGGAAAAACCATTATTCGTAGAAGTCATCACTGGTCAGGTTTGAGATTACCCAGATGGTATCTGTGGGACATGTGAAGAGGTCAGAAGTGATCATTGTAAGAAAATAAACAGGTTTTCAGCATTGTGCTGCACACTCCCTGCTCCCATACCAGGATGATTTCTGCAAGGTTTGTGGCCCTGAACATGAACTGCTATGTAAAGGAAAGTGGAAATAAAAAGCCTGGCATGAGGTATAGCTTGGATATAATAGCATCCTTCTGGAAAGACAGGCCAATGTAAACATCTGGCTGGGATAATTTATAACATGCATATTTTCCATATGTAGTCATATATCACTTTCCTTTAACCGTTCTGTGTTATGAATCACAGGAACACTCTGAAAAACAGACTGAAGCAGGTCTGACTTGAATATATTGATGAGGCCTACAGAGCTTAGTGCATTTCTAGTCAAAACCAAACATGGATTTGGGATTGAATTACCCACCTTTAATCCGAAGTGTCTCCTACACAAGGCTTTCATGCGCATAGCAGTAGTTTTGTGAAAATAAAAGCCGTGACTGAATTATTCAGAGGTTAGCACGAAACTCTGCATACATTTTATATAGCAGTGTAACACACAGGTAAAGAAGTGAGACAGCTGTTCTGGAAGGACTACATAAACATACAGAAGGAGATAACAGACATAAGTGGACCTGCACCAAATTTGGCCATTTATAGTTAGATCAGGGAAGGGTCCTACATTTATACAAAGCTCAGCAGTCTGACTGCTCAAGCTGCATACATTTTTTTTTGTACTGGCTGCTGTACAAGCTGATTCCTGAATGTTCCCCACTTTCTACTGCATAGCCACAAGCATACGATTGCTGAGCTGTTATATTTGCATAATTATTGTTGTCACATTGTGTAGGCTGGCCGCTGTCTAGTTCTTGTAGGCACCTATGGCCTGCTCCTCCTTCACCCATTTATATGGTCACATTGTGTAGGCTGGCCGCTGTCTAGTGCTTGTAGGCACCTATGGCCTGCTCCTCCTTCACCCATTTATATGGTCACATTGTGTAGGCTGGCCGCTGTCTAGTGCTTGTAGGCACCTATGGCCTGCTCCTCCTTCACCCATTTATATGGTCACATTGTGTAGGCTGGCCGCTGTCTAGTGCTTGTAGGCACCTATGGCCTGCTCCTCCTTCACCCATTTATATGGTCCATTGTGTACTGGCCGCCACCTATGGCCTGCTCCTCCTTCACCCATTTATACTCCATAGTGCTCCCTCACTGATACTTCCCTTGTTGCAGCAGCTGCAAAATATCTGGTGTTTGGGAAGCATGTCACCTCATCTTGCAGGGTTTGGCCTTAAGTCACCAGTTCCCAGGCCCCAACACCAGCAGATGACAAAGTGGGTGAATTCAAAAGCCCTTTGTAAGCTCCAACATGGAGCTTACCCATGATATTTTGTGGTGACTGCAACAGGAGGAGCGTTAGGAAGCTGCAAAGGTAAGTATAGATATGTTAAGGTTGGGCTTTTTTTAATTAGAAATTCACATTACATGAAAGGGAAAAAAAAAAAAGAAAAACCACAAACGGAAAAAGAGGGACATAACAAAATATTACCCGCCCTATGAGCACCCTTTAGACACCCCCCGTAAGATATCTAACCTCATTCTGAGGTAGTGGAAGTTGAGGAAAACCGCCCACATTTATGAAATTCAGCTCTACTGGAATATGTGGCCTTGTGAAGGGGTATGGCCATTCGCTAGAGTCTTCCAAGCTGCTAACGTGGGTGCTGATGTTCTTTTCCATGATAAGATATGGGTGGGCTTTGAAGGAACAATATTTTCTGCAGTTTTAGTTTTTTTTTTTTTTTTTTTTTTTTTTTTTTTTTTAACTGAGATTGTTGTAAAACAATAGATCAATATTTTAAAGTGTGCCTTGGATGGACCTACACTGAAGAGGATGCAGTTCAATGGGGGAACTATTGACATTTATGTGGCATGAAGTGAAAGATGCCTTCTGCTATGAAGTGACACTTGTTCCTAGTACTGTATAAACTGATTGTAATAATTGATCAATGTATCAAGACTCCACATCCCACTTAGACTGATTATCCACAAAATACACATACATACAGTAATTTTTGGGTGTCATAAATAATATACCATCACTACAACAAAGTCGTAAAAACTGTTATATATTGAGAAATATGGAAAGGTCCACGATAAACAATGCAGACTTCGGGAAAGATATAGCAAATAAGCCTCTCAAACACACACATCCAGTTAAAAAAAAAACGACCCTATCCCATCCACTGCTTCAGTATTACTAAGAGATGGTCGCAGCTTTTGCAAGTCAGTGGTGGTAGATTCTTTGACATGTTTCGCAGATATGCTCAAATCTTAACCTTAAAAGTCCTGTAGGTATAGAGGTGTTTTGTGGGTAATTTTAATAACCGAGGTTAAAAGAGGATACGTTCATTAACTTGTCATTCTACATCCTTGTTTTAAGCAGCAGCTGTGTTTTAGTATTGATTTATGGAAATGTGCTGCATGATTTGTGTTCATTATTGGTTCATATAATGTCAAACTCATGCTGAATAGATTTAGGTGAATAGACTTTTCAGTTGTTGTTGAAATTCATCATAGGAATGTTTATAGAGACTTTCTTTAAATGCATAAGTATTGTAGTGTTCTGCTTACCTGCATACTTACATCTTTCTACTTCTTAGAGTACTGCAAGCCCATGGTTACACCAGCCAACACCTGTGACTTCAGCAGATGGTCTCCTGATGGGTCACCTTCCTGTACGTCCCTCCAGTGCTGACCCTCACCGACCGCTCAAACTGTCTGCACATTCAAGCCCTCCCTTATCTAAACCATCAGCAGATCACCACAAAGAGTAAGCCAGACATCTTATTTGTTTACATGTGAAAAAAAATTGAACCACACACAAAAAGCTAAATAGACAACTGAAATACATACTGTGAACTATTTTACATGTCAAGGATCTGCAGTTCTGTTCAGTCAGTGCTTTTTGGCACCCTTGCCAGACAGTACAGCCATACTCTGGACTTCCTGGAGCCTACCCTGCCCAACTTGTCACAAGACAAAGAAGGAACTGCACATGTTAATGAAGTCATCCCCATACTGTCACATGTTCATATATAGATGGAAGACTGCTACGAAATAGAGATCGGACTGGACCCTAAAGCAGCCTTTCCCTCTCCTAGCCTGTGCAGAGGATTACAGGATTTTTTTTATCAATACAGATTGTTAGTTGTGCTAGTTTTTGTGTGTAATAGTGATAATGGAAAGATGGGGGGATATGGATATATATATATTCATATTCAGGTCCATAAATATTGGAACATCGACACAATTCTAACATTTTTGGCTCTATACACCACTTCAGTGGATTTGAAATGAAACGAACAAGATGTGCTTTAACTGCAGACTGTCACCTTTAATTGGAGGGTATTTACATCCAAATCAGGTGAACGGTGTAGGAATTACAACAGTTTGCATATGTGCCTCCCACTTGTTAAGGGACCAAAAGTAATGGGACAGAATAATCATAAATCAAACTTTCACTTTTTAATACTTGGTTGCAAATCCTTTGAAGTGAGTTACAGCCTGAAGTCTGGAACGCATAGACATCACCAGACGCTGGGTTTCATCCCTGGTGATGCTGTGCCAGGCCTCTACTGCAACTGTCTTCAGTTCCTGCTTGTTCTTGGGGCATTTTCCCTTCAGTTTTGTCTTCAGCAAGTGAAATGCATGCTCAATTGGATTCAGGTCAGGTGATTGACTTGGCCATTGCATAACATTCCACTTCTTTCCCTTAAAAAAACTCTTTGTTGCTTTTGCAGTATGCTTTGTGTCATTGTCCATCTGCACTGTGAAGCGGCGTCCAATGAGTTGTGAAGCATTTGGCTGAATATGAGCAGATAATATTGCCCGAAACACTTCAGAATTCAACCTGCTGCTTTTGTCAGCAGTCACATCAATAAATACAAGAGAACCAGTTCCATTGGCAGCCATACATGCCCACGCCATGACACTACCACCACCATGCTTCACTGATGAGGTGGTATGCATAGGATCATGAGCATTTCCTTTCCTTCTCCATACTCTTCTCTTCCCATCACTCTGGTACAAGTTGATCTTAGTCTCATCTGTCCATAGGATGTTGTTCCAGAACTGTGAAGGCTTTTTTAGATGTCGTTTGGCAAACTCTAATCTGGCCTTACTGTTTTTGAGGCTCACCAATGGTTTACATCTTGTGGTGAACCCTCTGTATTCACTCTGGTGAAGTCTTCTCTTGATTGTTGACTTTGACACACATACACCTACCTCCTGGAGAGTGTTTTTGATCTGGCCAACTGTTGTGAAGGGTGTTTTTCTTCACCAGGGAAAGAATTCTTCGGTCATCCACCACAGTTTTCTTCCGGGTCTTTTGGTGTTGCTGAGCTCACCGGTGCGTTCCTTCTTTTTAAGAATGTTCCAAGCAGTTGTTTTGGCCACGCCTAATGTTTTTGCTATCTCTCTGATGGATTTGTTTTGTCTTTTTAGCCTAATGATGGCTTGCTTTACTGATAGTGACAGCTCTTTGGATCTCATCTTGAGAGTTGACAGCAACAGATTCCAAATGTAAATAGCACACTTGAAATGAACTCTGGACCTTTTATCTGCTCATTGTAATTGGGATAATGAGGGAATAACACACACCTGGCCATGGAACAGCTGAGAAGCCAATTGTCCCATTACTTTTGGTCCCTTAACAAGTGGGAGGCACATATGCAAACTGTTGTAATTCCTACACCGTTCACCTGATTTGGATGTAAATACCCTCCAATTAAAGCTGACAGTCTGCAGTTAAAGCACATCTTGTTTGTTTCATTTCAAATCCATTGTGGTGGTGTATAGAGCCAAAAATGTTAGAATTGTGTCGATGTCCCAATATTTATGGACCTGACTGTAAGTAAACTCTGGTCACAATTGCCAACCAGTATGGCTGGATGGATCAGGCCTAGACATTTTTCATTTAATTCTGGTGCAACTTTCTCTGATCTTGTAATACATAGCAGTTAGCTATGCTGAATTTTGCTATTGCTTTTCTGGAGATTAGCCTTCAGAGTAGGTGTCCCTCCCTCTCTGGGTTAACCTGAATGTTCTGGTATAAGGTATACCTTTTTAAAGACCTTCTGCTTATGTAACCACTAAAATCAGCAGGTGTCTTTGCATATCACAATTATCTCAATGCTCCCAGCTAATTGGATTTCTGATGGTCACATGTGTGTGTTGAATTCTAAATTTGTCTCCTGGAAGATAATGGTGCCTGCTTATTTGTGTAATGAAATGGGTTTCTTAAGTATATTCTTTATACAGTATAATAACACTTCCTCTTTTTTTTTTTTTTTTCAACAGAGATTTAGAGAAGAAAACCTACAGTGAACCCTTACGCTCAGTTACTTCAGCACCAGTGAAGAATGAGCATGAGCACAACCGGATACATTCGGGTAAAGATAGCCATACCCACAGACTTTATATGGAACCTGTTCTGAGCCACACCAAGATGCAACGGTCATCACTGGAGACCGCAGAGCGTCCAAACAAATACAAGGAGGAACACCGAAGGATCCTACAGGAAAATATTGAGGCTACTGCGTTTTCAGTGAAAATGAAAGCACATGAAAATGAACGGGAAAGCTATAGTAGAGTAACCCCTATTGTGTCTTGCAGCCCCAAAAGCCACTTGGTAAAGCATGAAAACAATGTGGAGCGCCCTATCTCAGATCTATACAAGATGAAAACATCAGTCTCTCAAAGTCTGCCCCAAAGTAATTATTTTACCACTTTATCCAACAGTGTGGTGAACGAGCCACCAAGGTCATTTGCACCCAAGGAAGCTGTAAATGTTTTCTCTGAAAAGCAAAATGTCAGCCCTTCTTCGACTAATTCTTCTGCTATTAATTCCTATTTGTCCAAACCACCACCTTTAATTAAGCACCAACCTGAGGATGGACCAAGCAGTAAACTAAATGAGCAGCTTCCTCAGCAGATGGCAACTCACACAATTACATCCTACAGAGGAGACAGTAGAAGCCCTACCCAATTGTCCATCACGTCTTCAAACACACTCCGAAGCATGCCTGCCTTACACAGAGCACCTGTATTCCATCCTCCGATCCACCATAGCTTGGAGAGGAAAGAAGGAAGTTACAGTAATCTTTCTCCACCCACCTTGACTCCAGTGCAGCCTGTAAGTACTGGAGGAAAGATCCAGGAGCTTCAGAAACCACCTACCCTTGTCCCTGAGCCTAAGGAAGGTGCTACAACTTACAAGAAGAATGCAGAGAAGGTCATCCAGGAAGTATGGAAAAGCAGCGAAAAGCAAAACCACAGTAAAATTGACTGGCTGCCAGAAAAAAATAATGTGAAGGTACCGTCTGCAACCGCATCTGTCATTGTACGCCCACCATCTAGTGCAAAGTATGATAACACGCCAGTAACTCAGGCTCTCTCCAAGGATAGAGCTGGCGAAAGCTTCTCAGCTGGAATCAATCAACCTGATTGCTCAAAGACCATGGAAGCCAGAGAGACTGTAAGGATTGGCCAGCCAATTATGAACTCAGACAGCACTCATGTGCTGTTTGAGAAGAACTCTCACGCTCCTTCACACAGCATTCCCAGTTTGTCTGCACCTGGATCTAATATAATGTGCAGTACAAAAACTGACGTGACCACCTCTGCCCCCACAACCACAAGTGTTTCGAGTTGCAGCGGATCAGAAGTAACTTATTCTTTATCCAATGCTGTCCCAGTCTGTACAATGATAGAAAGCACCAGTTCATTGCCGGCAAGCCAAACCGCGGTACAACCTCAAGAGAGCATTGTCAGCGCCTTAGCTTTAGCCACTCCAGCAAGTAGCAAGCCAGCAGTTCAGCCCAATGCATTGTATCCCACGTCAAGTGATTTCATCCATTTAAAAAAGCACAAGGCTGCCCTGGCTGCAGCCCAGTTAAAAAGCACTAATGCAGTCGATACAGAAACTAGTGCTGTGAAAACCCAAACTGTGCCACCTTCAGGCTCTCCAGATAGCAGCACACCCTGCAGCTCCACAAACTCATCAAGTTCTGTAGGCAATGGGCAAGCCTCCCAATGCAGCCAGCCAAATTATCACACGAAACTTAAAAAGGCATGGCTTACTAGACATTCAGAAGAAGATAAAAACACCAACAATAAGCCGGAAAATGCTGGCAGCTCAATAGTGTCTGAAATCATTAAGCCCTGTACTGTAAATTTGATTGCTTCGACCTCTAGCGAGCTGCAGAATAACCTGGATCTTCGAGCCCAGGACGACAAGTCTCCCAAGGAGGATAGGCTTACAAGGAGGAGGGTGAAAAGGACTTATGAATCTGGCTCGGAAAGCGAGGACTCAGATGAAAGCGAGAGCAAGTCTGGACAAAGGCTGAAACGTCAGCCCAAGCCAACATACAAAAAGAAGCAAAATGATATGCAAAGGCGAAAAGGTGACACAGACAAAGAGGACGAAATAAAACCCAATGGTATTCTTAGCCGGAGTGCCAAGGAAAAAAGCAAACTAAAGTTACAGAGCAACAGTACCAGCTGTAAGTATGTTCTCTAACCTTGAAACGAGGCTTTCATGTGTTTTTGTTTATACAAGTGCTCAGTTTCCTTTGTTTGCCTGTTCCTGGAAGCCATCCATATTGCATCACAATGGCATGGTTTCTTTTTTTATTTCTTTTCTAAATCAGAAACGTGGGCTGATTTCTAGACAAACAGTTGAATTTGCACCAAGAATACACAGGGAGCTCTTATCTTCAGGAGGGTTTGTGTCCATCCAGTTTTATGATGGACAACTGTCTCCTAGAGCAGGAGACTTAGCCCTGGTTCACACTAATGTGACTTGTCATGTCACCTGCTACTTTAACCACTTGCCCTCCTGAGGATTTACCCCCTTCCTGACCAGGCCATTTTTTTTGCATTTCGGCGCTGCACTACTGTAACTGACAATTGCACGGTCATACAACGCTGCACCCAAATGAAATGTACGTCCTTTTTTTCCCCACAAATTGAGCTTTCTTTCGGTGGTTTTTGATCGCCTGTGCGGTTTTTATTTTTTTGCGCTATAAAAAAAACAGCCTGATAATTTTGAGAAAAAAAATAACTTTGACATTTTGCTATTAAACAAACCTGTCCAGTAAAAAAAAAAAAAAAATTAAAAATCAAATTTCGTCATAAATGTAGGCCAAAATGTATTCTACTATGTCTTTGCTAAAAAAAAATTCCCAAGGCATGTAAATTAATTGTTTTATGTGAAAGTTATAGCGTTTACAAATGGCGGTATATATACTGGGATTTTTTTTTTCTTTACTAGTAGTGGCAGCGATCAGCGGCTTATAGCAGGACTGCAGCGGACATTCTGCTACTGGGGGGAACTGACTTAGTGTCACTGACATCCCCAGTGACCAGTACAGTGATAAGTGCTAAAAAAAAAAAAAACATCAGTTATAATACACTGCATAAGGGGTTAACATGAGGGGCGATCAAAATGATAACTGTGTGCTAGGTGTGTGTTGCTATATGGGCGGTGTCTGTGTGTTTCACTGTAAGCATCGGAGATCCTTTGTAATCGCTGGGCGCCGGCGAGTTATCACTGGCTGGGACCCGGTGATTGACAGCCGTGGCGCCTCGCGCATGCACCCCCTACCCGGAAATGCAGAATCGCATATATATGTGGTTTTGTGCACCCGTGCTGCCCTGTAGCAGTATTTCTGCTACAGGGCGGTCGGGCAGCGGTTAACATTGCATGACAAGTCGCATCCAATGTTCTGGTTCCCTGGAACCCTGTTCTAATAGCTGCAACGCATGTCGTAGCGACTTTAGAAAAGGATTGTGCACTACTTGTGTGACTTGCTTGCAACATGCACTGAGCTGTATGATTGAAGTGGCAGCAAGTCACAAAGCAGTCAGATGTTAGCCACATTGGTGTGAACAGTGGCTATATTGTCCTTGCTGCAGTTAAGTAACACCTACAGGTCTTTGTGTCTGTGTGGACAATGAAAGGAGGAGCAGCAGAATGAGTTTGTCTCTCATTCTGCACTCTCCTATCAGCATACCCCTTGAACTTCAGCACAAGTAATTGACTTTTCATGCTGCTTTCCCTCTCCTTTCCCTAATATAAGACGTTGATACCAAGTCCAATTCAGGTATTTAAACTGCTTGCATTAAGAAAAAAATATCATATCAAATTTATTTTATTACATATACCTGGAGTTCAGCTCTAAAGTTGAACATGTAGTGAAGTTTAGCCTGTAAAGTGGCATCAGAGAGTCAACTACTGGCACCTAGCGGTGCTTTCATATACCGCTATGGATCTTCACATCGTTACTGGATTCCTTAAACCCAGGACCACAATTATGAAAGAGATTTGGTGCACTTGCCTGCTCCACCTCACTATTGGTGGATGTGGGAACCCATACCTAGGAGGACTTAGCAGGGAGGGACACGGCTAAAGTGCTTGCTTAGCAAATGCACGTGTCAGGGTTACCTTCGCAGAACAAGTTGATTGCGCTACACATTTTACATATCGCCGGGTGTCAGAGCATGAGCAATAATTCTAGCACCAGAGTTGCTGGGTAAGCCTGGCCATACACTATACAATTTTCTGTCCAATTTCCTTCAGATTTACCTTCAACTATGTAGTGCAAGAGCCTGCCTAATTGGATGCAATTGAAAGTGTTGTTAATTCTGACCTCATATTATATGGTTTTTGGTAAATCTAAACCAAAAATCTCAGGAAAATTGTATAGTGTATGGCCAGCCTAACTCTCTACTGATGACCTGTAGAGGTTTTTAAAGCATTCCCTATAGAAAATCTAGTGTACTGCAGTTCGCTACTTCACAGGCGCAAGGTTTTACACGTTTGGTATCTACTCAGCGTGACCTCATCTTTTATGTTTTAAATTGGAGAATTTTATGTGTGCCCTAAAATAGTTTTTTTGCTGAAATGTTGTGTTTCCTAAAGCATTGCGCTAATATCCTGTAACAAAAAAATTTGAACTACTGCCAGTTGTGTTCTAGGTGTTTACTTTCTGGACATATGTAATGATTTTTAAAACCTAAAAAAATGCAAAAATGGCTCTGATAGTGAAGGGGTTAAGCCTTCAGTTTTGGGATTGGTAGTAACTGGCTGCAAGATGGATTTTCCAGTCATATCCAGTGCCCAACCCAACGCCTGTGTTGGCATCGGCTCACACTAGGTGTATTTTGTAATTCTTGCAGAGAACATTTTCACATCCTGCATTGATTCTGTAGAAAATTCTAGATAGTCAGTACATTGTGGACTTCTGAAAAATAGCACATTACAAGCTGGGATGGCTAAACTTTTGTGAATCCCCAGGCAAGTGTCCCGGTTGTTTTGAATAACTGCAAGTTATGTATCAAGTCTCTGCTTGCTTGTTTTAGCTGAGATCCTTTACATGGCATTAGAGGTATTAAATCACTCATTCATGCTTGTGGTTGGTTTTACAGTATGTCGGCATGTTCTCCTGTCATATGGTGTTATTGAGGGCTGGTAGCAGTGTGTCTGCACAGCTGTCAGTCTCCAACGAACAGAATCTGACTTGTATATAATGAATGCTTATAGCTTCTACCCTGTCTTATTTACATTGAAACTCAGCAGCCCTTATGTTCCAGGGACGTCCAATAGAGGCTTTGTGACATGCTCCAGCTTCAAAGAACACCCACCATGTCATACATGCAGCATATTAATCCCCCCCCCCCCCCCTTTATAACCGCACTTGAACTGAGTGTTAAATTACTAACATCTTTTCATATTTGGGGATTTGCAATTAAATCTTAAGCAAAGACAGACTGTTACTGGAGCGACATTCATCGGCCTCCCCCTCCCCCCCCCCTTCAGTTCATGAGTCAGTGATTGCCATGTTTTTTACAGGCCGCTCTGGCACTGATGCGTGCTCGAGGCTCAGCTCAGACTCATGAAATTATTCAGTGGACTGTTTGTCTTACTGCAGGCTGTTTTCGGTGTCTGTGAACTTGAGTGCTGCTGGAAATATAGCCGAGCCACAGCTATTTCTGTACCGTGGGCAGTTACATTACAGAGCTCTGCAATTAAGTTGTTGACGTGAAAACCGTGTAATAAATGGATGCATGCAGAAATAAATGGCTTGTCAGGAGCAGAGTGAGCGGTCGCTAATTTATATCGTTAATCTGGCCACTTTCACGTGGCTAATTTTTTCATTAGTCACCCACTGTAAGTTTAATGGATATAAATGTGATGAAGGCAAAGATGTGCTGAGGTGTGTTGCTGCAGCTGACATTATCCTTCAGTGCATTCCAATGGTTATTCAATAGGTTTTGTTTTTTTTTTTTTTTTTTATTTAAACAAAAGCATCCTATTCTTCAAACAGGCTTGTGCCCATGTTTCTTCCCCTGTGTTGCCTACACTCAAGCACAGAAGTGTCCTGTTCTTTAAACAGGCCTGTGCCCATGTTCTTCCCCTATGTGGCCTACACACAGCCACAATAATAGTTTTCTTCCAGTGTTCATTGCGGAACACAGAAGACCTCTGGTTATATGCTTTGGCTCTAGGACAGCCATTTCAACCGTCTTACCACAAAAACGAAACATCAAAATAATTTCCAGGTCTTTGGCAACCCCTGCAAAAACCAATTCATTTGGAGTCCATGGCAAAAAATGCCCCTCACAAGGGTAGTCAGTGGGAAAAATGCCCTCCTTTCACTAGTAGTCAGAATGCCAACCTTACAGACAGCTAAAAAGATCACTGGTGTGATACTTGCTCTGCCAAGTAGCACTAGCTCTAAAACTATGCAGGCACCTTCAGATGGGAGGTCAATCAGCCAAAGATAATGGAACTACTAGCAACTTCTGAAGGAACCATAGGGTTTCACTAACCTCTGTTTTGAAAATGGCTGGTATAGGAGTTTGAACAATGGACAAATCAAAAACCATGGTTTCTCTAAGTGGCTTTACCCTTGCATACATCAAAGTAATCCCAAAGTGGTAGGTGTATCCTAGTCCTTCTGCAAACTATTTATCTCCAAGGTATGCAAAGCCACATCTTGGTTTTCAACTCCTTTCCTTACCAAGTTCTTTTGTGTGGATGCCAATGCATGTGTTGGGGGTTATAGCCTCTAGAAGGAGATACGCAGTTTGATTTACTCAGGTTCCCACTGTGCAGGTGATTGCGGTGTGGAAATCACGCTGTTCTTAAAGATATGTGGGGCTGACATTTGCTGTTAATGGCACTCCCATGCATCTTAACCTGCAGTGCCTTTGTGGTTGTTGGAACTGCAGGGAAATCGCATGCTCAAAAGCACCATGCGATTTCCCTGTGTGTTTTTAAAAAGGTACAAGCACCTTTGTTGCAGGAAACGCAGGCATGGTAGCCCCTTTCAAATGAATGGGCTGCGATGGCCACTGAAACGTGGGCCACCAAATCACACAGGTGTGAACCTAGGATGAGTGTCCAACCACCTACAGGTAGAGCAGATACCCAGAGGTATGCTTTGTATTCCAATGAACTGCTAGAGAAAAGAGCCTGCAGTAAGTTAAAAAATTCCCCCACCAGCCACCATGCAAGTGTTGCCTGCTTGCTCCTACAACGCTTCCCATTTGTTAACATACTATTAAGGCAAAATAAATCTTCCTATTTGGTGTGCTAAAACTGTATTGAGTGGGGATTTCACGTTTATACGACTGGGTGCACTGGTTTCAATATATCTCTAAAGTAAGTTTTGTAAAACTAAACATACAGATGAAGACAGCCCTTTGAGAGGATGCTTCTTAGGACAATTGTTCATCACACTGACCAAAAATCTTCTGATTCAGTAGGAACTGTTCATCTTTCGGTCCATGTGTACAGCTGTCTGTTCTACAGAAGCAGATCTAAGGTCATCATCAGTTTCTGTAGAGATGGGATTGAGGTTCATCAACATTGATGAGGAAGTAGTCTTCCTCTTGCTGAATTTATATTTGTTTTATTTTGCATAGACAGCTGCAGGGGGAGAGGGATTCCATGATAGGGGAACGGATGTCAAGCACTAATGGCTCATACAGTTTACTTGATTTTCCTCAAGTCATAATTTAAACATCTTTGAATGGAATGACTAAAGAACACCTATGATGAGAGGAATGCAGTGGCTACCATTCCTGTCATGGTGGTCCTCTGTCTTTAAAGGACAATTTGTACTGAAAGATGCATTATATTGCCAAAAGTATGAACTTTAATGGCATCCCAGTCTTAGTCCATAGGGTAGGGTTCAATATTGAGTTGGCCCATCCTTTGCAGCTATAACAGCTTCAATTCTTCTGGGAAAGCAGTCCATGAGATTTAGGAGTGTGTCTAAGGCAATGTTTGACCATTCTTCCAGAAGTGCATTTGTGAGGTCAGGCACTGATGTTGGATGAGAAGGCTTGACTCTCAGTCTCTGCACTAATTCATCCCAAAGGTGTTCTATCGAGTTGAGGTCAGGAGAGTTCCTCCACCCCAAACTCATTCATCCATGTCTTTATAGACCATGCTTTGTGCATTGGTACGCAGTCCTGTTGGAACAGGAAGAGGTCATCCCAAAACTGTTCCCACAAATTTGGGAGTATGAAATTGTCCAAAATGTCTTGATATGCTGACACCTTAAGAATGCCCTTCACTGGACCTAAGGGACCAAGCCCAACCCCTGAAAAACTACCCCACATCATAATCCCCCTCCACCAAACTTTACACTTGGCACGATGCAGTCAGGCAAGCATCAATCTCCTGAAAACTGCCAAACCCAGACATGTTCATCGGATTTCCAGACAGATTAGCATGATTTGTCACTCCAGAGAACACATCTCCACTGCTCTAGAGTCCAGTGGCAGCATGCTTTACACCACTGCATTTCATTGCACTTGGTGCTATAAGGCAGCTGCTCGACCATGGAAACACATTCCATGAAGCTTTCTACGCACTGTTGTGCTAATCTGAAGGCCACACGAAGTTTGAAGGTTTTTATCTATTGACTGCAGACTGTTGGCGACGTCTACGTCCCGTGCGCTTCAGGCACTGACCCCGCTCTGTCATTTTACGTGACCTACCACTTCGTGGCTGAGTTGCTGCTGTTCTCAGTTGCTTCAACTTTGTTATAAGACCACTAACAGTTGACCGTGGAATATTTAGTATTGAAGAAATTTCACGGATGGACTTATTGCACAGGTGACAACCTATCACGGTACCACGCTTGAGTTCACTGAGCTCCTGAGAGCGGCCCATTCTTTCACAAGTGTTTGTAAAAGCAGTCTGCATGCCTAGGTGCTTTATTTTATACACCTGTGACCATGGAGGTGATTGGAACACTTGAATTCAATGATTTGGAAGGGTGTCTCAATACTTTTGACAGTATAGTGTGTATGGAGGCGGCCATTGCTGAACTCTTTAGAAAAGCGAGTTGTCTGTGATGCTGTCTAGAGACCTGGAACAAGTATGCAAATCAGGTGGGTCTTTGTCAGTTCAAAAACCAAATATATCAGCCTCTGCATTTACCTTGATACTGCCAACTACAGCTGACCATAGAGGGTTCAAATCTTGGCCAGTTCAACAGGGACTGGCCAAGATTCAAACCATGCATGGGCCAGCTGAATGTACCCATGTTGATCGATCTATCAGCTTGGGTAAAACCAGCCTGTAGGATTTTGAATGCGATTTACTACTAGCTGCTATTATAGTAATCACTGTGTTCACCAGGCGGGGGATGGCTGTGGTTGCAGGAAAGGTAATCGCTCAGTCTATGGCCAACTTAAGTGAAAACTCCTGATCTTTTCACCTATTGTGTGTTAGTGACTCTGAGAGTTCTTAAACCACATATTATGAGTCTACATCTGAAAATGCCAGTTGCTAGAGTACAGTGGAAGCAGTGTTTATATTTCTATTAGTTTTAAAAGATCTTTGGATGAAAATATCCTGTATCTAAAATTTATTTAATGGAGGAGCTGGATAGTTGTGGGTTCCAGAGCAGCTGGCCGGTGACAGAGCATCACCATGAACTTTCATTATAATCACTGAAATTGCTGATTTCCTCAGAATAATTAGTTTGCTTATGATGCGTGCTGGGTCTTATCCTTGGAAATGGCAAATGTTGCTTTCCTGCTAACCTCTTCCTCATTAGCAGCTGATGCAGCACATGTGGATGGCACCCTTATCTCTATTCTGTGATGATGTTTGTTGTGTTGTACTTTCAGCTGGCATACCTCGTTCAGTATTAAAAGACTGGAGGAAAGTGAAGAAACTCAAGCAGACTGGGGAATCCTTCTTGCAGGATGACTCTTGCTGCGAGATTGGGCCAAATATACAGAAGTGCAGAGAATGCCGACTGATCCGCACCAAGAAGGGCGATGAGTCCACCCACTCTCCGGTTTTTCTGCCGATTTTATTACTTCCGAAGGTAATACTGGGACCACTGGATTGTGCTCATTTTTTTAATGTTTGCTCAGTCTCCATCACCGTCAATCCCATATTTAAAACCTATTTTGAGGATACTTGAAGGTTTTCTCCAAAACAGTATGTATAGATTTGTGATGATAGCTGTCAGACATGTAAAGATGCTCTTGCCTTTAAAGCCCTTTAGCCCCTTTTTTTATAATTCTTATAAAGTGTTATGAAGTAAACCCCCTGGGCCATGGGCACATTAGGGACGTACAGCGTTAAATTATGGCAGTTTTCCACGGCAAGGCAGGCCAGGTGCTGTCCACTGACACCCATAGACATTCCATGGCATGCTTCCCTACCATGAGAGAGAATTTTATGTTGTATGCCTCTAATGTACTCCTGTACCTGAGCCCTTGCAATAAATTTTTCATTGCTTGCTTTTGTTTTTTTAGATAGATCATTGAAGGCATTTTGCTTGACAAGTGCATAAAAAAACTTTCTTAAAATCAGGGTGGTTTTGTGCTTCCTGTGTTCTCAGGGAGCATATTTATCCATCCTAGATCTTATTTTGGATTGCAGAATAATTGGTGTCTATGTTGTAGAGATGGAGGAGAGGGAGGGTTTGGCTAGTTTAGCAAAAGATAATTCTGCGAGATGACACCACTCCCACCATAAAGATGTTGTGTGTAGTCAGCTCACAACAGAACAGAGGAGCTGAATGCAATGAATGAAACTTTTTCTTTTGGTGCATGTTAAACAGTTTAGCAAAATAATTAGCTTTGTAGATAATCATTGCCTTTGATGCACTATTATCTATATACAGGGTCTTGGAGTGTCTGTTTACAGTCTTCAAATATTGCTAGATGCCATATGTTCAGTCTCCTAAAGCCGCTATAGGTGGATTGAAATTCGGCAGATATATCTATATCTCACCATGGTAGATGCAGCATCGGTCCCTCCACCGGCTCTGCACTGAGAACTGTGTGTTCAAACACTACTGATTGCTCAGTTCTCTCCTCCGATCTGAGCAGAGAGCTGTGACTGTCAATCTAAAGCTCTCTGCACGACCCCTCCAGTGCTCATTGGAGTGCTGGGCTGTGGGGAAGGGGGGGTGTAGAGACTTGCTCAGGCTCTTGGAGGATCACTGAGATGCTGAACCAGCTGCCGTCTTCTGGGCGTTCCCGACCATATGGTTATGATCTTCTCAGAGCCTGGACAGTCTCTGTAACATTAACTGCTGTTGGCTGAAACCGGGTCACAGGAGTGCAAAATGAACTGCACTCCGGTTATCACAAAAAAAAAAAAAAACACAAGCTGCTTTGCCTTTTAGGCCTCATGCACACAAGGTGTTTTTGCAGTCACTTTTAGGGTCCTCAGGCGGGTTTTGTTTTTTCTACTGCTTCCAAACAGCCCTTCCTGTTATCCTAGGTGTCCATGCACACATAGACTTTTAGAAGCTGTTAGTTAGTAGTAGCGATTAGCAACAGGAAAAAAAGAAAACCCAGGGCCAGTGCATCCAGGTGCAGCAGTGTTTTGGCAGAAAAAACGCTTGATGCGTGTAAACTTGTGTAACGCTAGACACGGTTAGTGCTTCAGCTTTAATTTATTCTGGCCAATGAAATGAATTGACGCCCAAACGTTTGACGCTTGTAAAAGATTAGGAGTGTTTTTATAATGTCCTGTGTGCATTAGGCCTTAGGTTTGTGCCAGCAGATATGCTTGTATGCACTGTATAAGGTAAACTGAGTTAACATATTATATTCTGCTTGTCTACCCCATAGATACTTAACTGTATCTTGTAATATTAAAAAGAAACAAGGCACATTTTTATCCTCTGGCTTTTTTTTTTTTTTTTTTTTTTAAATCATTTTCAGATGTTTTTTAAAGCCATACAGCAATCCAGTAAGTACATCCAAATGCCAAGGATACAGTGTTCTTTACAGATATAACTGCAAAGCAGATCTTGTTCCCTAACTATGGGCAGATTGAATTCACTTCAGAGATCAAGCCAGCACGTCTCTTGTTACTGGAGTGAAAATGGATTTTATCTGCCTAGAAATGGCTTGTTTACCTTAAAGGCAAATAAGTCTCCATATTTCTTTCCAAACGGCGATAGTTCTAGAACAGTTCACTTTTTTCTTTTTTTTTTGCTCAGGCTAATAGTAACATAAAGTGGGATAGAGATGGGTTAACCATGTACAGTAAACACAAGAAGCTTTGTCCTGAAAATTAGCCTAAAGAGGTTAGACATATGGGAGCTTTCACAGTTGACATCATTTATATGTGCAAGGTAGAAGATGATGCAATGCCTATCTTTGTCTATTTAGTAATGCAGACCTGGATCACAAATGCATGAAGCAAGGATGAACATGAAAGGCCCGAACAATGCGCATTCAAACATTAATCAGCAGCTCTCATCTTTCTGTTCCGATTGGTTACCTTCAAAGGTCAATAGGACATATTGTGAAGTTCCTGTGCCCTTGAGTGTCAGCCACCCACGAACATACTTATCAGACCCACTCATGAGTTCTTCACTGTGCTGTCCAATCTTGACACCATGCAACCTTTGCACAAAAAAAAGTACCAGCCATGTCCAACTCCTATTATGCTATTGTGTCACTTGGCCTGTCGTTCCATTGGCTGGTCCTTATCAAGGCAACTCCCAGCCGTCCAGAGGAGTATGCTTCAGCCATGAGAATAATTGGGCTAAGTGGAACACATGTGCAGAAGGAGTCAGGCATGGTGTGAACTTATTTCTGTAAAGAATCTGTAATGTTGCGTATGGCCACACTGAAGTACTCTGAAGTGAGGCTGAAGGTAATTATTTTGGTAGGGGATAATTTGGCAGGGAAAACATTTCAAAGACTGCTTTAATAAAGGTGAAGTTGTCCATTAAATATTTTCAAAACCTCTATATTATTCGCTTGTGTTCCTTCACAACTCATTAGACTCTGAAAATGCCAAACCCCAAAAACATCGTTCAGATCTAAAATCTAAGCGGAAGAAAACATTCCCTTATACCAGATGCTTTTCAGAGCGAAGATCCAAGAGACACCATCCGCTAGACACGAATACAATTTATGTTCTTGTGTATTACAGGTTATCATTCAGTAAAAACGGGATTGTTAGAATAGATGGATTCTCATCGCCTGACCAGTATGATGACGATGACGAAGCACTGAGCTTATGGACACATGAGAACTATGAAGATGATGATTTAGATCTGGATTCCATAAAATACGTCTTGGGCTACATTGGAGATAAATTCTGTCAGATGGTGACGTCTGAAAAAGCTGCTATGTCCTGGGTGAAAAAAGATGGTACGTCGTAGTCTGGCATGCTTTCAGAATAAGCTTATCCCATAATTACAGTCCAAGCCTTATTTCTCTATAAATAGTCTGTGGGAACTGTCTACACTACGCACATCCAAATAGAGTGAATGAGCAGAGATGATAAATGGGATTTAACTGAGGTTAATATGGAGTAAAATAGCATGTCCCAATAGGTATAGTTGGTAAATTGAAAGGTAATAAACAAGAACATTGAGCCACATCACATGCAAGTGCCTGAATGGAAAATGGTCTGTTTCTATAACAACTGATCCCAATCTCACTTTCATTTCCTAACTTTGCCTTCAAACATGAAGGGCTTGTCATACCATGTTCAACTATGAACGGAATAATACAGGGTGGATTGATGTGAACTGAACTTGTTTCTAAGATACTGATCAAGAGCCCCCTCTTTGGAATATATGTGCCTTTACTACCTTTCCTATCATGCTGTCTTTATGATGACTTACTTACAGTGGGTCTGGATGGTTCCCCATTGCGAATATGTTCTTCTATTTTAAGATTATACAAGACCATTGCCTGTTTACTGAAAGTACCTGAATTTCCCATCCAAGAGGCAGTGTCTTCACGTTGGTCTACTCGCTTGCACCTCTATGGGCAACATGCACATTCCATAAATTCCAGTCTAACCTGCTGATTGATATTACAGTTTATCAATTGGTTCCAGTGTACTGATTCTGTCACATGTGCTCCTGAAGGGTTCCTGAAACTCGTAGAGTCCACATGGGAATTGTAATCGTTATCTTTGCATGTTGTGAACACCTATGTGGAATATAATTTTTTAATGTCGTGCGATATATTTTGATGGTACATAATAACAGTTGTTTTCACACTATTCAGTTTCTCTTCTATTTCCCCTCAAAGTCCATGACTAAATAGTTGTACGTGATTTGCTGGGATGTGGACAGCGCACACACAGTCTGGTTTTCTCTTCTGCTATAGACTTGTTCATACCATGTCTGTTGAACTTGCTTTTTCTGCACACTACCCCATACAGTGGGAAAATTATTTGATCCCCTGCAGATTTTGTAAGTTTGCTCACTTAAAAGAAATTTAAGGCCTACAATTGTTTTTGTATAATTTATGTACACAGAGCAGCCATAATTGTTCATTACATATGCAGACTCTTCCTGTAACAATTGTCGGTCTCACATTGCAAGTCTGAGTTACGTCTAAGATAGGGATGAAGTCATTAATCATATAAAACTTCATTTAGGGGGGTAACTAACTCCACCCTTGCTTCATTATGGCTGATGAAGCATAGGAGGATAATCTGCTCAGATCTTGACATGGTAAGGAGGAATGGCCACCTAAAGCTCCAAAACCTTTTTTTTTTTTTTTTTTTTTTTTTTTTTTTTTTTTTTAACTTGGGCCTTGGGGATTACTGGTAACAAAACTTCTCAACATGCACACACTTTATGGTTTCTGTAAGTACCTGTTAAACTTGCCAATCTCCATTTTTCTGTACAACCCCTGAAGGTCTAGACATAAATTTGACCTAAAGTCATCACAATGCCAAAACCTCTGCAATTTGCAAGATGGTGCCAATGTCTCTACTATGAACTGAATTGTGAAATGACAAGAGTGGGGTTTAGTCCCAGCTTGGCCAGAAGTGATGGCCTAGAATGCATAAAGGGATCCTTAGTAATTGGTGTGAAGGCACAGGTACACTTCAGCAGTATTATCTTAGATGCTTTCTTCTTGGCAAATAAAACTGAAAAACTGCATACTAACAAAGGCCTTTTAATCAAGGTCGCCCACCAGAAGAATGTTAACTTTCCTGGAATCAAATGTTTTTGCATCTCAGACTTTCATGCTTTGTTAAATTGCTCTTTATTTCAGTGAAAATAGCCTGGAAGAGAGCAGTGCGCGGTGTGCGTGAGATGTGCGATGCTTGTGAAGCCACCTTGTTTAACATCCACTGGGTTTGCCAGAAATGTGGATTTGTGGTCTGTCTGGATTGTTACAAAGCGAAGGAACGGAAAAGTTCTCGAGGTTAGTACGCATGAAGCACTCCATTCTGTGCTGTGTTTACCTTGCCTTCCCCCAGAAATGCTTAGCCAGCAGTCATGTTCTAGCTGGTGAATTGCTATTTCTGTGCTGGAGAAACTCCCCTTCAGTGATTACAGCGAGCAGTTTCATAACTTCCCTTTCAGTCTGCGTACAGCTCATTCTCAGGTGGAGCTATCCTGTTTCATGCTAATGCGAAATGAAGATTGAAATGTGTACATATTTAGTGGAGTTCGGCTCCGGGGGACTGAGGGTGAGCTCAGCTATACTCCATAGATTTCAATGCCATGATTTAAAACGTCTTCCTCCAAATAGCATGATACTGCTACCCTATAAAGAATACAGTGTATGTGTGGTTTGGAATAGGGCCCAATTTCAGTATAAGAAGGCTCACAGCACATTCATCCTGGCCTGGCAGGAAGTGAGCACAAGCTGCAACTCAGACTGAAATGTTAATTACATAAAGAGGCATCTTGAATAACGCAATACCTGTAAACCTTTCCATACTGTGACATAACTATATGTACTGTCCATAAATGGACTTATTCTTCCTTTAAAATGGACAACATACTTTAAGTGGTTGTAAAGGCTCCAGGTATTTTACCTTCATGCAGTCCCCCCAAATACTTACCTGATCCTCTACGCGGTCCAGCGATGTGCACAAGAGCCTTGGCTCTCCAAGGAATCTCTCTCCTCATTGGCTCATACTCAATTGCAGCCAGTGAGCCAATGAAAGGAGGGAGGGGGGGCGGGACACAGCTCTGTGTGTGAATGAACACGCAGAGCAGCAGCTCAGAAGCGAGCCTGTTCAGGTCCCCCCAATAGCAAACTGCTTGCTGTGGGGGCCCCTTCCAGAAGGGAGAGGACAAGAGCGCTGGCGGGGGACCCAAGAACAGGAGGATCAGGGTTGCTGTGTGCAAAACCACTGCACAGAGAACACAAGTTTTTTTTCAAAGCCTGCCTCTAATATCACTTTTACAGAGTTCATTAGCCGAACAGGAACAGTATGCCGCAATACTGGGCTATAGAGCTTCTTTTTTCACTAAAAACACTAGAAATTTGATGACCCATAATATGTATAGCCATCATTACCCTTCCACACAATGTTATAATATTGTTTCTTAGTAATATTTGCTGTTTTTGTACCCCGTCTGTTCTGCAAACCTTTCTAACCTCAAAAGTGACCTAACAGCCTAATTTAATTAAAGCTGAATAAATAAATGGTATATACGGATCAGCATATTTTACAAATAAATCACTTTGCCTGTTGATGGGATAGGAGAATTTTAATCAGATTAAAACATAAATCCATACTATGGTAAGGAGAATTGATTTTATCTCCATAAATTTAATGACCCATGAATTCTGTCAGAGCGACACTAACAAATGGTTAAAGAGCATCCTCTGCTCAGACCAACAGTTTAAATTACCTGTCAAAACCGGGATGATTTAGTGATAACATCACAGCACAGCATGTCAACTTCATAACCTTGAAAGGGTGTTAATTGACCCATAGGCTTCAAGAAAAGGAAGGTTTTTTTTTTTTTTCTTCTCCTTTTTAGCTTCTGATATTTAACCCTTAATAGTAACCAATCCTTGTAATACAAGTTGCTAGCTGGAGCAATTTAGAAAGGGCATTTTCTACTTTAGGTGTGCTGAGATTTGTAACTGAGCCAGCTAATGCCTAGATGGAGTGCAGAGCTAGGTTGTCACAATAAGATGCAATGAAAAAGATTGTGGTGGCAGGTTATAATCACTTTCCCTAATGAAGTCTGGAACTGGTATGACTGCCAGGGAATTGCAAAGGGTTGATGAGGAGGTAATGTGAGGTTTGTTTTATTACTTTTATTACAATGGATTTTTTTTTTTTTTTTTTTTGTAGATAAGGAACTGTACACTTGGCTGAAATGTGTCAAAGGGCAACCTCACGATTACAAGCACCTGATGCCCACACAGATTATTCCAAGCTCAGGTAAGACATATTAAACATGTAATATACCTGCTTGTGATGTATGAGTGGGACCATTTAATTAAAACTCAGAGTCCTTAGCTTAAGTGGCCCTTGCTCTTCAAAAACCCCTGACATAGAATACAGCTATAGAGAAAAAAGGAGAGAAGCGCCTCCAATAAGTCTTTTAATTCAAGTCTAAATGTAGAAACACTCACGTGTGAAGTAATCATAAGCATAAAAACCGTGGTTAACAATAGTTAACGGTGGGGTGGTAACCCGGGTGAAGAGCCGTCATCTCTCTGCGATGTGGGAGGTCAGTTCTCGGCTGGAACAGCATGGTGGCTGGAGGGGGAACAGTGGTGAGGCCAGCCTTCATGCACGTCCTCCCTCAATGGAACGCACGCTGGAACGTAGCGGCGGCGTGGCCGTGATGACGTCAGATCCCAGGGTGCACTGCGACGCGTTTCGGAGCATGCACTGGCCGTGGAAGGCGGAAGTGCACTCCTTTTTCAAGCAGCAGTTTCCATCCGGCTTTGAGGGAGGACGTGCAAAGGCTGGCCTCACCATGTTTCCAGCCACCACGCTGTTCCAGCCGAGAGCTGACCTCCCCACATCGCAGAGAGATGACGGCTCTTCACCCGGGTTACCACCCCACCGTTAACTATTGTTAACCACGGTTTTTATGCTTATGATTACTTCACACATGTGAGTGTACATTTAGACTTGAATTAAAAGTATTGCACTTAGAGGCGCTTCTCTCCCATCTACAGAGTTGGACAGCTTATTTGGAAGCCTTGCCCTCAGAGTGCCACACGGAATCCTACGCTCTTCATACAGTAGCCACTAATACCACCATCACCCTACTACCATTTCCCAGGACTTTGCAGTGTTTGCGCTGTTACAACCCTTCCTCATTTTTTAGAATACAGCTATAGGCATTTTAGGATGCCCTTCAGCTAGCAGAAAATTGGAATTGAAGCAGTACCAAATCTGTGCAGTCTGCGTACACCAGTCACAGTATACCTGTACAAAAAAAAGTATTATAATTCCATCTGGATTATGGTATATTGGAAGTCTCAAATTTGTAATGCATTAATGATGACTGTGTTTGTCACAGACTTTAGTGATTGATATCTTCGATTAGTGTTCTCTCACTCTGGAACCTTATTTCTGATTATGCTTGTTAACAAGCTTATGTTCAAACTTTCCAATTTAAAAAAATAAATAAATATCCCATCTAGAATTGGCTGTCCTAGGAGGTAGGCGTTCTTTGCTATTTTTCAAAGACTGTAGATGAAGACCTGCTAAATATCTTGCTTTTTGTTTTAGTTCTCACTGATCTTCTGGAAGCAATGCACAGTCTCCGAGACAAATTTGGGATTAGGTCACACTGTCAGTGTGCCATTAAACAGCATTCACAGGTTGGCAAGCTACCTACACTGAATGGCGTATCACAGGTGAGGCTGTGTAACAGAAATCCTCAACATGCATGTCTATGAACAATTTCTGAGGGTTTTTTTTTTGGGTCTCGCTTAGATTGGGAAAGGGTTAATACCTCTCCAGTTTTTACTGTTCTCCCTGATTTAATTGGGGAGATTTGCCTGTGCAGTCAACAGGAGAGTAATGCTAGCCATACACTAGTCAAAAAATCGTTTGTTTTCAAAAAACGAACACGCGGTTATAAGAGTAAGTGATATTGCCATCATGTAATGACCGATTTATGAACATTAAATCCTTCAGTGGACATAAATCAGTTTTTCGTTTTTGTCCCACATACACAATACAAACTGTGATTTATAAACGGGGAAACACATGGAACTTTTCCTTCTGGACAAAAAAAAACAATAGAACAAACTGTACAAATGACAGATTTGCTAACAATTTTTCATCTAGTGTATGGGCATCACAAGTGAGCGGTAACCTCCAAGAGGGACACAGTTATCAATTACAATGTCTTTAGTAGAGCAGGGAAAGACGAGCCCTTGACAGATTTTTATTGTTGTATCCATGTGGAGATTTTTCCTCACCTCTGTGTTGTCAATGCACAGAGGGACACATCCCCATCAAGGTCTCTCAAAATTTGAAAGGGGTTCTGAGTCTTTTCCACTCTATCAACATTAACCAATCATATAAATTTAATCATACTGGCAGTGATATTAAACAGAATGGACCTTGGCTCTAGGACTCGTATTTTAAGTTTTTTCAAGTTTCATATTTTTTTTTCTTCATTTTGATTGAGGTTTCTGACATTGTAATGGATTCTACTTCACTATTTGGCACATGCGTATATCGGGTAAAGCTCAGCTCTCTGAATCTGGCATTTTTGAATCTCTGAAACTGATCATTTTAAACTGGTAAGAATGTCTTGCTTCTGATTTACACATTATTCCTATCTTTTTGTGGTGATTTTTTTTTTTCTTTTTAGGCCTCAATCACATGCATGCCAAGACCCGTAGTGTTTATGCGGCCGGAACCAGCAGGTGCTGAAAGCGGGCAGCCCATGCAAGTCTATGGAGAATCAGTGGCTGAACGAACACAACTGCACTGTCTCCATTCAGGGCTGCTCGCCTGTCCACCAAGTGGCTGTGTCTGTACAAACACTGTTTCCCCATAGACTTGAATGGGCTTTCTACACGTAGCATCTAGTGGCTAAAGCCGCATAAACACATGGCTGTTCATGAACTGCGGGCCTCAGCGCCCATGTGAATGAGGCTTTAAAAGTAAAATCACCACAAAATGTATGAATAACGTGCACACCAGAACTAGTACATTCTTGACGGCTTAAAATGATCAGTTTCGGAGAGATGCCACAGATGAGCGCTGACTTTGTGAATGCGTCCTAATTGGACTGTTTTGTTTATGACCAATTTACCACACCTACATTGTCGGTTTTCTTAAAGCCCAACTCCAGCAAAACTTTTTTGGCTGTAATAAAACAGACTTCTCATATAATTTGACTCATCCGTCAATCATTATGGAATATAGTAATGCTGTATAAATATAGGTTGTAAGGTGTTAGGAGGACGAGAACCGCACCAAAGGTTTAGGTGTCCCAAGAGTAGTTTTCTTCCTGTTCAAAAACAGGCCTACGCATTCCAGGAGCAAAAAGATTGCCCTTTGATCAGGGCTAGTTTGAATAGAGTGATATGAGTAAATGGAGGGTCAATTTAACTCGGGAATAAACTCTTTATCCTGTAAGCATGCTTCAGCTGGTTGTGTAGGGGACAATCGTACTTTACAGTATAGACTTTTCTTTACACGGAGGAACCAAACCAATTTTGGATCCCCGGCTTCCCATTTGCACTTTCAATGTATAGAATAAGATAACAGAATGTCAGTTGTGTTTTTGTATTATATCAGATTTGTCTTTGCAGCCATGTCTATTATACATAATTATACAAATGTTTATTAGGAATGCAGTGGAATTTCGGTGGCCGAAATGTTTCGGCTGAAAACGCCCCTGACGGCCATTGGCCAAAATGGAAAAAAAAAAGCACCGATACAGGTGCTGAAAAAACCCCGCCCCTTGCCACCGCCTGCCGTCACTGCCACTGTCTGCCACTTGGTAGTTCTCAGCCTTACCTGAGAAAACATCTATCCCTGCTCTGGGCATAGAGATGAGTGAAGGAAAGATGGCCGCCACTCATCCCTATGCCTTTGTAGGATCGGAGCCATGTCACTTCCCGTTCCTGCCATATTATTTTTTTTTTTTTTTTTTTTTTTGTAAAGCACTAGATCATTGCTTTTTTTTTTTTTTTTTTTTGATCCAATGCTTTATATTGTAGAGGAGAGATGTGGGGTTTTATTGACCCCATATCTCTCCGTAAAGAGGACGTGTCACTATTTATTTTTCTATCACAAGGGATGCATGCATTTCTTGTGATAAGAATAAAATTGATTACATTTTTTTTTAAAGGGACAGTCCAAAAAAATTTTTTATAAATTAAAAAGTTTAAAGTGCCCCTGTCGTCCCACCCCATGCTCGCACATAGTGGTGAACGCATACGTAGGCCATGCCCACATATGTAAACAGTGTTCAAACCACACACGTAAGGTATCGCCATGAACGTCCGAGTAAGAGCAATAATTCTTGTAGTCTTGTCTCATGTTCTGTCCCCCTTGCTATTGTACAGTGCTGAGCAAGCCCTTTGGCGCTATATAAATACTGCATAATAATACTAGACCTCCTCTGTAACTTTACACTGCTAACCTGCAGAAAGTTTTAAAGCATCACCCATGGAGATTTTTAAGTACCGCAGTTTCACACCATTGCATAAGCGTGAGCAATTTTAAAGCATGACATGTTGGGTATCTATTTACTCGCCGTAACATCCTCTTTTTTCATATTTTAGAAAAAAAAAGGGGGTATATATTGGGGTTCTTTTTAATCAGTTTTTTTCCCAGAAAAAAATATACATTTTTAAAAACTGCGCGTTTCGGTTGTCAGCCAAGTGCATTTTGAAGTTTTGGCACCAGAATTTTCATTTCCGTGCACCACTAATGTTTGTTTGTATTCCCAGAATGACCTTACTCTCCTATCTCAAGTCCTAACTAAGAGTTACAAAAATCATTCTGCTTTATGTATGAAAGGAGATCTTTAAGAAAATATTCCATCAATCATATTCTTTGATCAGTTTTCCAACCAAACTAGAAGTAAAATTGTCACTTTTTTTTTTTTTCTTTTTTTTGCTGTTAGCAACAGGAACATGCCTACAAAATGGTTTTTCATTAAAAAAAAATTTCATAAGTATTGACCAACCAAGAAAGTGCTGTGTCTGACCTGATGTGCATTTTGTTCAATCATTTAGGTGCTGCAGAACGTTCTCAATCACAGTAACAAGATATCTCTCAGCTTGCCTGAATCACAGCAACAGAATTCTCCTCAAAAACCGGAAACCAACGGTAATGTGAGCCCTGGAAGTGACAGCAGCACGGATAGTAAGCTGGCATCCCCCGAATCCCATTCCTCGCTGCATTGGCTAGCAGACCTGGCTGAACAGAAGGCCAGAGAAGAAAAAAAAGGGTGAGTCTCTATCTAATTAGTGATGACACCGAAATGACGATTACATTGACAATTCCCCATTGCCAGCAGCACAATCACAGCGGTTCTGCTGCCACATTACCCAGTGGAAATAATTTCTCACTGGCCTAATAGCTGCAGAATCAAAGTCACTGTGACATCTCACTGGTTCATCCAGTCAGGGAGAGACACCATAGGTAAAGGTGAGCAGACTTGGGCCCATTTCATGTTAATGTGTGTGAGCGCAAAAGTGGGTAGGACAGTCAGACATATACTGCTGGGGTTAGTTAACAAAGGGGAAGGGGGAGGCACTTTGGCCTTCTCACCTGTTGGTGTGAACGGACTTGTATCATGACTAGAAATAAAACCATGAAAAAACTCTTGCGCCAACTAATAAATGTGCAATAAAGAGACAGTGAATGAATGCTGCAGATGACATCAATATGTGTTCCCACATGAATGTGCAAAATTTTGAAATGTAGCGCTGCTATAGAAAAGACATCAGCATATATGCAATATAACATAATCCTATGTGGAAATAAAGTGCTTAAACAAATCGTCCATAATAAAGTGCAAATAAATTGCTTAACTATATCAGTCCATATGTCATAGAGGGATATGGAGTGTCTATAAGGCGTGGAGGAGAGAGACGGAGATCATTTATACACGCGCTGTTAAAGAAAATTGAAGGTGAGAGTTCTGGTAGCACTAAGGTGGCACAAGATTGCACAAAGTGGATTTTAAGCACGAGCACTTTAAAAACCATTGGTGTTGGTAACATATATGACATATGGACTGATCTATTTAAGCAATTGATTATCATCATTTTTTTTCAAAGTGTTGTATCAGGACTACTTAAAGGAACACTCTATTAAAAGAATATGGGACTTCCATTGCTTGTTATCACTTCTCATCCTAGTAGTTTACATTGCTGGCTTGTAACAAGCATGCTGCAAATCACTGCAGTAAAGTCTTAATTCTTCATTTGTTCAGAATCGGCGACTCAGAAAATGCTGAAATTATTAGAACAAAATTAGCAGTCAGACAGCTAGCATTTCCAGGAGGTGATCTGCACATTTTTCAGAAGTTGACAGTCAATCTGTGAGATCAGACAGGGTAGTAGCTGTCAAATTTTGGATGTTCTCTGCCCCCTGACACTTGCTGACATGTCAGGTTTGGAAAAAGGCTACATAAGGGGCACATTCAAATCTAGGCTTGCACAGTGATAATAAAGTAGCAATAGTCAGATTCATGAGTAAGCCCAGTTGTTGCTGGTTCTCTTTATTGCACACAGTGTAGCAGGTCTCTCAAACTTGTTACTTTTAACCCCTCCAACTTCTCTGTTGTCTTTGCAGAGAATAAGGAGTGTCCAGTGGGAAAACATATCAAGGACGAACAAGATGGTAACGATAGTGTAAACTGCAAATCCTCATCACCCCCCACTCAGACCAACGAACAAGGCTCCACACTGAGAGACCTCCTGACCACCACTGCTGGAAAGCTGCGTCTGGGATCCACTGATGCCGGCATTGCCTTTGCACCTGTTTACTCTGTAGGAAATCCAGTGAGTGAAAGCTGCACCATTTTTTGTATAGTATACCCATCTCTGTGGTTTGTTTTACATTTATAAATAAAAAAAATGCACACCAGATTCATCTGACTTTGCATGTGTGGGCTGTTTGATATTGCAGAAATCACTGGAAGGTAAATAATTCAACAAGGGGAAACAAATTATCTTGGCAAACAGTTCTCCTATATGAGTTGTCTGCCAAAGACAACTAAAGACGAGGGACAGAGCAGCAAAGTTGTCTTTTAGTGATGACATGCAAGTGTTGTATTTAAAATTTAATAGACAAGAAAAACCAAGAAAGCGCTCCAAAAATCCCCAAACAACTTTGAGTTTATCTATTTAATCTACCCATCCCTCCCAAAGTGTGGCTGATTTATAGGGCCTTGACCATTGAAGAAACAGGGCCCATAATGTTTTCTCCGGGTTTCCAAGTTTTGGCTCCTGTTAAATTTTTTTTTTTTTTTTCACATGCTTATTCTAAGCACAAGCAGTTAGGACAGTATAGTATATGTACTTTTTATCAGCTGTAACTAAATGTGTTGCTCATAGCAATCGGCCAAATACGTGATGGGTTGGTATTGATATAATGTCTGATTTTGTGATCTTTAGAAATAAGGCCAGCTATGAGCTCTTAACAGACAACATAGAGCAAAAAAAAAAAGATTGTACTGCAAATTCACTTCTGTATTTGTCTCCCGCTGTTTCCAAGACTGAGAACTGAACAATCAAAGACTGCTGATCACTTCTCAGTCTTCAGTGAGCAGAGAGCGTTGACTGTCAGTCACCTGCTCTCTGCTCTGTCCCTCCAAAGCTCATTGGAGCACCAAGCTGTGAAGGCGGTGGGAGTGGCTGGCCCAGGTTTTCAGCTACTTGCAGATAGGCTGAGCTAGTTGCCAGTCCTTTTCAGTTGGGATCTCTCCAGGACCTGGACCAACTGAGTGATGTCAGCTGACAGCGGGCTAAAGCACCTTTCAGTGTTGTTGCCGGGTAATATAAAAATAGGGATGCAAATTTCTTTGTGAACAAGGTAACCTTTAGTCTACCTTCTTACCGCATGCCGTTTACCACCTTTTTTTTTTATCAATGCCTTTTCATGTAGTTGCTTCCTCTGGAACGTATATGGCTAATTGTGGTCTGTCATTTTTCTTCTAAATACAGAGTGGTAAGGGTGGAAGGTCCATGCCAAACATCTTGGATGACATCATTGCCTCAGTGGTTGAAAACAAGATTCCTGCCACAAGACCACCTAAACTCAGCATAAAAACCGAGCCAAAGGAGGAAATTCCCGAGAGCCGCAAGATGTCCCAGGATGAGAATGCAAGGACTTACAGTGATATTCCGCATTCTTGGATCTGTGATCGGCACATTCTATGGTTAAAGGATCATAAACATAACTGCAACTGGAAGCTCTTCAGAGAGTGCTGGAAACAGGGCAAGGTTAGTACAGGATGCCTGGGTGATATATCTGGCTGGACATGTGCTGTAATTTAAGTACCTTGTGTCAGTAATGTACTACAAGGAGGAATGTCTGCCTGTTTACAGCTTAATATAGAGCTCTGTAAATATCCTATTATGAGCTCAGGAAGTCAGAATAGTAACAGTAATGAATTGTCTTGTCCAGCACTCTAGCTTTCTGCAGAATTCTCATGTGATCCTTTCTGGTTTTATCATTGTCACTATGGACGTGTCATCGGCTCGCAGATATTTGGGGCTTGTGTTTGATTCAGTTTTGACTATGTGATTATACTATGTATTGGCATCCTCACTGGTGCACAGGTTAATATTTTTTTAAGTCTATACTTTAATCTGGGCTTCTTGGTGGTTCTTGTTCATTATGTTTGAAACTTAGATGGATGAGATTGATATTTGACCTTTGTCTGATCCAGGCTCCTAAGTACTGATGGTGGCATTACATGTGATGACGTTTCCCAGCTAGAGTTGTCATCCTCATCTGGCTTTGCTGCCTAATGATTCAGTGACAAAGCATACAGGCAGTGAATCCTGAAAACCAACCTCCCACCCTGTGTAATTATCCCAGGTCTGCAGTTCACTCCAAGTACAAGTCTGCTTTGTAGGCTCTGTATTTCTGTCCTCAAATTAGTTACCTTTAATTATGTAATAAAGTATGTTGTATGTACAGTCTGCTGAGCTGGCTCAGTTCTTTGTGAAACAGGAAAGGGATTTCCCCTTCTAACAGGAAAAATATGAGTGTGGCAAAAACGGTCCCATCCCCTTTAGGTCAAATATCCATGTTGTTTTTCATCCAATTAAAGCACCTTGTGACCACAGCTCTCGTTATCTTGTCCTGTTTGGTATTCTGCTATAGAATCGTTTATTAGATTTTTCCAGAAAGCTAGCTTTCCATCTGTCCAGTTGTTACAAACATTTCCAGTTTTAAAGGTATTGAACTGTGGATTGATATGTTGTCTGAAGCTGCATGTGTAGTTGGGTTACAGATCTCATATTGCTATGTTTTCATCCCCTTTACAACTGTCATATGCAGAAAAGCGTCAGTGTCTTGTTCTGGCGCTCACAGTCAACTACTATCAGGATCCAGTAGGATGGGCTCCCAATTATGTCAATGTGCAGCCAATCATAATGCCGCCATGACTAGGGGGCCCTTCTACCAGCCTCGGTTACAGCCCCTTTAAAGTGCCAGTTTCCACCAATGTGAAGGGGTTGATTTTGTAGATTTATTTGGATAGGGTCAAATTTTTATTTTTATGAATCAAGTGCTTGAGTCAGCAGTGCAGGGAGTGTTCAGTACAATTTTGGATGTGGTTGTTTACAAGCTGCTGCTGTCTTTTGATCATAAAATGAGATTTGTGTGTAGTGGAATATCTTGTTTGTCAGTATCTTATGAAGAGTTAGAAAATATTTCTTGGATCCTGACTGACAATTAAAATTCCTATTATGGAAGAGCCTCTATTCTCCCACTATCAAAATAGGGTTTGTAACTCTTGGAGAGGCGACAAAATAGTAGGGCTAAGGGATACAGTCTGATTTAATGGAATGTTTTATTTATCTTAACAAATTGCCTGATTAGAACATGCCAGCTGACTGTCTTGACTTCTGTATCTGAAAATTATTTCTTCTTTACTCTCATGGTGATCCTCTGACTTCAGTGCTCAGTCATTAAGCCAGAACAAAGTGTGACGGTCCGGACATTTTGTCCTTTTTGATTTTTCTGATCTGCATTATATTGTTCCAGGGCAGTCGCTCAAAGTATTGAAGGTAAAGTGACCCTGTCGTCACAGAGCCACTTTTACTCAATAGCCCACCTTTTTAAAAGGAAACCTGAATATACTTGACTTTCTGAAAGCCCACGTATTGAAAAATCGCCACATCTTCGTTCCCCAACTGCAAGTGTATTTGCGCATCAGATGAGTTGAATATTTGTTCCCCCTGCCAGCTCTTGCATCCTGTAGTGATGTGTGAACCAGCAGGAGGAACCACAGAGGTCAATGCAGGAGTATGTATTCTGCACACCAAGAAGTAAAGAATCCTTGCAGTAATTGGGGACCAGAGAAGGGGCGAGTTTTCAATATACTGCTGGAAGGGTAAGTATAGTCATGTTTTTTTGTTTTTCCGAGGTGCCTTATGTAAATGTGACTCTGTGGTAACACACAAGGGATGCAACTTTCCCACATCACATTCTGGTGTGAACAAAGAGATTCTATATTGTTTGGTTTTCTAGATTTAATTTTGTGTAGGTCATGGTATAAATATTTCCATGACAGTGTATGAGACTTTTTATAGATCCAGAGATAGTGTCCCTGATTTAACTATTTTATCCCACTTTGATTGCTTGGCTAAAATGATATCAATGAGTTTCCTATTTATGCAGGAGATTGAGAGTTAAAGATGAACGTCACCTAATCAGGATGAATATAAAGTGGCAAAACGTTATCTCATGTTTATTTTAAAGACAAGAATTGCAACTTTGTACAGTAAACAGCCTTAAAGTGTTACTAAACCCACAACAGTAAAATCAGTCTGTATATGCAGTAAAGCATGCTTGTTATACTCACTGTAGAACCTAAGGGGTTAATCCTCTGCATTGTGTAAAAATGCTACTTTGATCCTGACTTCTCTGATCCTCCCCTTCTTCCAGTGCCCCCCTCTTATCTCCTGATAAGACATATCGTTCGGAGACACTCTGCTCATGCTTATATTTGGTGTGTATTGCCAGAGAGGTTTTTATTCTTGGGAGAGTGCATGTGATCAGCACAGGGCAAATCAGCCCTGTCCAGACAGAGGACAAGGGTTCTGCATCCTCCTGGAGCAGAAAGAAAACTCTTACAAGCTTTACCAGTGCTCTGCTGAACACTGATAAAGTCACAAGACTGCTCTAACGGCTGATGAGCAAAGGTATTTAGCAGTTTATATTTACTAAAACAATTGCATTTCCTTGTTCTGTGTACTGTGGGAGACCAGATATAGTGAATGCAGGGTCCTGGGTGTAGTAACACTTTGGTGTTGCCATCTAGGCAGGCATAGGTGTACATTCAAGTGTGAGTTTCAGATGAGACATATATGGGAATCTGTCATCATTAACCATTTGCCCTGCAAAGGATTTACCCCCTTCCTGACCAGGCCATTTTTTGTGATACAGCGCCGCTTTACTTTAAGTGACAATTGTGCGGTCATGCAGCATTGCAATTTATGTTTTTTTTTTTTCTCCACAAATAGAGCTTTCCTTTGATGGTATCTGGTCACCTGTGCGGTTTTTATTTTTTGCGCTATAAACAAAGACCGATTAATTAAAATAAACCAATTTTTTTATTTTTCTGCTATAAAACATGTCCAATACAAAAAAAAAAGTAAAATAAAATTTCTTCATAAATTTAGGCCAAAATGTATTCTGCTACATGTCTTTGCTAAAAACAAAAAAAAATCCCAATACGTCTAAATTTGTTTCCGTGAAAGTTATAGTGCCTACAAATGGCAGTATTATACTGGAATATTTATTTATTTTACTAATAATGGCTTCGATCAGCGACTTATTGCGGGACTGCAGAAGGCATTCTGACACTGGGGGGGGACTAACTGCCACTGACAACCCCAGTGACACTAATACAGTGATCAGTGCTAATAAAAAGCACTGACAATTGTACTAATGGCACTGGGCAGGAAGGGGTTAACATCTGGGGTGATCAAAGGGTTAACAGTTTGTTGTGTTTTACATTATGTGCTGTGTTACTATGTGGACAAGCTGCTTTGTATTGCTCTGCTGTGCAGAGGAGAGATCTGTGTTTACCCGGTGATTGACATGCCGAGGAGCCAATAGCAGTGCGGGTACGGAGTGCGTGCGTGCCCCCTACCTATAAATACAAAATCAAGTACCGTATATACACAGTGAGGAACAGAAGTATTTGAATACCCTGCAATTTTGCAAGTTCTCCCACTTAGAAATCATGGAGGGGTCTGAAATTCACATTGTAGGTGCATTCCCAGTCAGACAGAATTTTTAAAAAAAAAAAAAAATTCAGGAAATCATTGTATGATTTTTATATGAGGTGATTGTAGCCGTATTAGTGCATTTGCGACAGAAACAATTGAATTATGTTCATCAGTGCAAGACGAATAAATTCTATAAAAATCATAAGTATTTGAACACCTGAGAAAATCCGTGTTAAAATTTGGTACAGAAGCCTTTGTTTGCAGTTACAGAGGTCAAACGTTTCCTGTAGTTCTTGACCAGGTTTGCACACACTGCAACAGGGATTTTTGGCCCACTCCTCCACACAGATCTCCTCTAGATCTGTCAGGTTTGTGGCTGTCGCTGAGCAACACGGAGTTTCAGCTCCCTCCAAAGATGTTCTATTGGATTTAGGTCTGGAGACTGGCTAGGCCACTCCAGAACCTTGATATGCTTCTTACGGAGCCACTCCTTGGTTATCCTGGCTGTGTGCTTCGGGTCGTTGTCATGTTGGAAGACCCAGCCACAACCCATCTTCAATGCTCTGACTGAGGGAAGGAGGTTGTTGCTCAAAATCTCACAATAAATGACCCCATTCATCCTCTCCTTAATACAGTGCAGTCGTTCTGTCCCCTTCACAGAAAAACACCCCCAAAGCATGATGTTACCACCCCCCATGCTTCACAGTAGGGATGGTGTTCTTGGGATGCAACTCATCCTTTTTCCTCCGAACACGACGAGTGAAGTTTAGACCAAAAAGTTCTACTTTGGTCTCATCTGACCACATGACATTCTCCCATGCCTCCGCTGGATCATCCAGATGGTCATTGGCAAACTTCAGACGGGCCTGGACATATGATGACTTGAGCAGGGGAACCTTCCATGCAATGCATGATTTGAAACCATGACGGCGTAGTGTTCTACCGACAGTGACCTTTGAAACTGTGGTCCCAGCTCTCTTCATGTCATTACCCAGCTCCTCCCTTGTAGTTCTGGGCTGATTCCTCATCTTTCT